CTCACCCCGGCTCATGACAGTTTAAAGCTGTCATGTTTTTTATGTTTGAGCTGATGAATCGGGGTTTGTCCTTCCATTTAGTGATGGAGGAGTCCAGAGACCTAAACCAGTTAGATGGTGGCTTGCTTGGGATAATTGAAAATAAGTTATTGATTCTCGGTAAAACCATCATCTGAATTGTGGCAACCATGAGTGAAATCGGCAAAGACTTCCGGCAAGATCATCTTCCACTTTCTATAAAAGTGGGATGTGGTTTCGTTTTGTTAAATCTGCCAGGCTGGGAGAGACATGAATGCACAAGTATGTAACATTCCCCGACTCCAATTGTGTATTAGGGGAATTGAGAAAAGAGAAATTAATTGGTAGAACTGTAGATTTTAACCAGTTTATTGAACAATCTGAAACTCTTAAAAACGAGTTTATCAATTCAGTCGCTTGGGAGAGAGAGGAGTGAGAATTCTGGAGAAAAAGTAACACATCATCTGCATAAAGGCTGATTTTATGTTCTATGCTCTTACTCTTTATGCCTTTAATACCTGTAGTTTGCCTGACTGTGGGCATCCCTGCCTGGTCCCCCTCTGAAGACAGAAGCTGGCTGATGTTTGGTCGTTTATCCTGACACGTGCTGTTGGTGAACTGTGTGTTTTTAACCAGTTTATGAAGGAATTTCCCAAAACTAATTTTATGTAAAGTTGCAAATGAAAACTTCTAGTTAACTCTGGCGAAAGCCTTTTCTGCATCAAGACATAATTTACTAGTTTCCATGTTTCTACAGTAAGAAAAGTCTATCAAATGAAGTAATCTACACTCATTTGTGGACGAATGCCACCCCTTAATGAAACCAGTTTGATCAGGGGTATTATGAAAGGGGTTATTAAATCTTTTTGTGAGAGTTTTACAAATTATTATGAGATCAACATTAATAAGGGATATGGGGCAATAGCTGGCTGCCCTGCGATGGACTGGCTCTCTGTCCAGGGTGTACCCCGCCTGATTGCCCATTGACCGCTGGAGATAGGCACCAGCCCCCCCCCCACTCCCTGCAACCCTACATGGACAATGCGGGTTCTGCAAATGGATGGATGGGCAATAGCTGGCAGGAAATAAAGGGTCTTTGCCTGGTTTTAGCAGGAGACATATGTTGGCTGAATTCTTGTTCGGCTGTAGCCTGCCAATCTCTTGTATTTCTCTCATCATTCTGAAGAATGTTGGAACCAGAATGATCCAGAATTATTTATGAAATTCTACTGGAAACCCATCTGGACCTGGAGCTTTCTTCTTGCAGAAGCCATGCTTCTTGTGGCGATGCACACAGGTGGGGCTGCTGGGAGCCCGCCGGTGCGCACCGGGCGGTGATCAGCAATCAGCCACAGTCTGATTATAAAGGACGGTGCCGCAGGTGTAGAAGAGAGAGCGGAAGCAGACCGGAGGAGCTCGGTGAGCTCCCGTCTGCGCCTCGGCGAGGCGGCTACGTGGTACCTGTGTGGCAGGTGTTATTAAAGCTGTCTTCCACAGAAGCTGTGTCTGTGGTCGGTGTGCGTGGGTCCGGTAGCTGGTAATATCATATCTGACATCACTCTGCTGACCAAAAAATTGTATTAGATAGTTTCGAGGAGTGTGTAGGTGTCCTAGGGGGGGCGCGCTCTTTACCTGCTTCATGGCTGTTAGCTGTAAAGGTAGCGGTTAGCATTTTCAGTTTGCCGGTCATCAATAAAAAGCACAAGAAGAAGAAAAGGAAGTTTGCTTTTTCTGTTGACGTCATGGCGGAGCCTGGAAGTAACGCTGCTGCTCTTTGTCGGCCGTTACAAATGCTGGCGCTGCAGACTTGGCAACCCTTTAGGCTCAAAAAGGATTCGCTCTGGAACCATATATGAAGTATGGAGAACGGACAGATTGTAAACAAAGACTACCCCCCCCCCCTTCTGCCTTTTTATAAGGAGAAAACTGACAACCCCCCAGCTGGCTGAGAGGGAAATCTGTTTCAGCATAACTTGACTGAGACATTAGACAACATTCTTACATATCAGGTGTGATACCAGGAGCCAGACTTACTGTCAGTACCTCAGAACACAAAGTGACTGTCGCATCGAGGTGTATCCACCTGCAGCACTTATGTAGTGTCTGAAGGACTATTGATTTAGATGAAACTGGGATTTGTTTGAAATTTAGATGAAATACTGTCAGATGTGTTTTCAGTAACACAAGCAGGCACTTTTGTTTGGTTTTGATCAACCGTTGCATACAAAACTGTTTTATTCTCAGTCAGAAACGAAGACAGCAGTTTGGCCCAAACAAAAGCACTTCCTAATCAACCGTGAGTTAAATGCCAGCCGTAATGGACCAAAAGAATAAACATCCACGGGCCGTAGAGTACGGTGACACATGAGGGGTATTACAGATAAAACCACAAGTCTTGTCGTGATGGATTTTTATTGTCAAAGCTGGTTCTCCTGCAGGTTCTCAATGATGAAAAATCTCTGTTCTAACAAGCCAGCCGCCCTGTTGGACTGATGTCTCTGTGGGCATGGAAGCAGGCAGGATCCTTTTGTCTGCTGTTTGTTAACATTTCTTTTTTAAATCGTGTATTTAAAGGGATTTTATCTGTCTAGATTGTTACTTAGTGAGTAAGTAGGGTAGATGTGACCACACAATCGAATCACTTCTATGTTTTCTGCAAGAGGTTATGGAGAGAAAATGTGCTTCAATCGATAATTTAATTGGAAGATTTAATCCATGTAAAAAAACTAATCAAAGACACAACAGCAACAGTACATTTATTGTTGATTAAATCAGCTTAAAACATAACAAACCAGCAAAAGCTGTTTGTCCCAGTTGGTAAAATCAGTGTTAATACCCTTATCTCAGCTTACAATGGCTGAGGACACCATGCCTCCAAAGCAATGCTTGACCTTTGGCTCATATTGCCATCTGTGTGTTTGCACTTCAACTAAAGCTGTACACGCCTCGGCCACGGAGACACTAAATGCTCAGATGTTATTTTAAAAGTGTGTCAGCCGCTATAAAGCTGTCTGCTCTGCAGTGCAAGAGCACTGGTGTGCATAAAGGGGCTGTGAAGGTGGCTCCTTTGTAGAACAGATCAAATAAAACAAGGACACAATGTGGCACAAGGCGTGAGAACATGTTTAATGGTGAAACACTGCAAAACGTTCGCCACATCAAACTTGTCATTTTGTGCTTAAAATGTCTACGAGATTCACAAAGATGGATTCTAGACGTCTGATGGACCAACAACAGTTTGAGGTGATGTCGACACTCAGCTGGCAGCTCTGGTGATGGGGGGGGGGGCTGTTCATCAGGTTTGGTGTGTCAGTCTGCAGCATCCATTTTCATTATGACTAATTAAGGCTAAAGAAATGTCACTCACAGTTTACAAACTACTATTGATGCGTTTACAAAATCCATTTAACATAGAAATTTGAGCCTTATTTTTGTCCTGAAACACCAGTTTATCCCCTGCAGTGGAGTTTGGCCACAGACTGTAGCTATATACGAACTAGATGTGGCCACAGATGATTCTGGCATTCAGTTGTTACTATCTTGGTATTCGGGAGGCTGAAGTGGCCTTGTTTAGAAAAGACGGAGGAGCGTGTTTATTAGTCACGTCTCTGCCAGATGAGTTGTGCCTTAAGCAGGACACTGAGACGCTCAGTCCTGCTAAACTTTACTCAGACACCGTGTTTACCGTAAGTGACAGCCGGGTGCACTGGTGTCACCAGAGCTGCACAAGAATCGAACGTTGGTATCGCCATCAAACCCAGTGTTGGTGCATCTTTGAATATTTCTGTGCAAAACAACTCGTTTCCGCTTTTTTACTTTTGTGCAAATAATAAAAATCAACCCATGCTGCAGTACAACAGTGAACATGTGATTCACTTTTAGGGTTATGACTGTAACATGTCTGAAGGCAAGAATCTGAAACCCGTTTCGTAAATGAGTCCTGCACAGGACATGAGTTACTTCACAGCTGAGATGCTTAGAAAACTACTTTAAGTCTAAAAAACTGCTTTAAAATCAGAAATAAGGGACAGCTTACTCTGTCAGTCCAGGCTGCAGGCCCAATGCATTATGGTCTGTTTCTACCGGTGTCATGTCCAACATCAGTACACTACTTTAGGTGCACCAAGTAAGGAGTTCTAGGGCATAATGGAAGAAGCCGTTACAACCACAACATTGCACTACGTGCCCAAAAGGCCTCAGGAAGCTAATACTTACAAAAAATAAACTTCTGAGTGAAAGGATTCACCAACTACATGATATTAAAGAAAAGACACTCTCCCAACTATTATGCATATTTTCAAATCATTTTAACTGAGCAGAAAAACCTGAATTCCCCTTTGCTTTGTTCACTAACCGCTGCCTACGTAGCCCATGCATGTAGCAGCGAAGCCTTATTACTGGCACACGTTAGTCTGGGACATGTCATGCAGGCTTTCTGTTTGTATTTTGGCTCAACGATAACATTTAGAGACTCACGTCAGGTAGTGAAGTAAGCTAGCAGCTAACACGAGGACTAACTATGCAACATAGCCTAGCACTAACGCTTACACGTTGACTTTAGTCACACGAGTCTATGAAACAACAGGTGACAGGAGCTTTTAGGTGTCGCAGATATGCAGTGAGTTCAGAAGCTGCGTGAGAGCTAAACGTCTTATTGCAGCCACGAGAGCAGAGGACGACTGTTTCAGGTGATTAACTGGAGTGATGATTTAAAACTGGCTTCGGCCCGGCCAGAACAAACGAGATGGTCTTAACCTACATGCATGGACGTAATTTTGGGGGGGGAGACAGGGGGACCCCCCTGTCTCCTCCCCCCACACACACACACACTTTTTTCAAAGTCAAGTTTTGACCCCTGCACTTTTTACCATCCAAAAACAATATTACGCTATATTAGATTGACACTGATTGAGCTCTAGGACCAAGCGGAAAACAACCGTTTGTGTTGAAGCCCCCCCCCCCCCCCCCCCATGCCCCCCCCCACTTCTAAAGTGAAAATTACGTCCATGCCTACATGCATATCTATGTTGCAGGGGTGCCGTCTTTTGGCACAACTCCTGCAGACTTTAACGTCAATCAATCAATCAATCAATCAAAGCTTTATTTATAAAGCGCCTTCCGCAACCCTGTCAGGAAGCCCAAAGCGCTGAATTAGTTCGAATTTATTGTTACTAGACCTACAGAGCAGAGATGGGGAATCGTAGCATCAAAAAGTCATCTCCATGCCTCAGTTCAGCAACTAAACCAGGAGATTTGAGTCAGCACAGTGAATGAACCCGGTTCAGTCGCTGAGCAGAACACAACCATGGCACGGAGTTGACTTGTTCATGCTACAGTTCCCATCTCTGCTAAACAGGCGTCAACATTTCTTTGATCATTGTTTTTTTTTCCTTTAAAATCTAGTAGGTTGCAGAGTGTAAATAGTAAACTAAGGCAAAAAATGGTTTATGTGTCAGGGATTGGCTATTCGGCCATCCGGAGATCATTGGCAAACTTAAAAGCCCACATCAGCGTTGGAGAATTTTTAAAACCACAACTTTTGCCTTAAATGGTCAAAAACTACACATTTCCAGCATTTACTTTAGGTGATATCATTCAAAAGAAAGTAAAGAAGAAAAATCTCTTTTAATCTGTTTATGTAAATTAATTTAAAGACAGGTAAGGCACTTTCTAACTGCCATCTTGTTTCTGCTATCGTCACATAAAAATACAGGCGAACAAACACAAAAGTGGAAGCTGAAATCATACAACTGCCCCCTAGTGGCTGGCTGCTAGAATGTCTTGGGCCATGCTCGTCACTGTAAAAGAATTGTTCTAACTAAAGAATAAAACACATCTAAGACAAGTTCTTCCATCTGTTGACTTTGGTGGATTAACACAGTTCGTCCTTTGTTGCTTCATTGTTCATTTTTCAAATTTGTTTAAAAAAATTGTCATTTAATGCTCAGAAAATAGTGATTGTGCGAAAGTGAGTGGGCGTGTCTTTCAGCCTGAGCTCCTGAGTGACTCTGAAACCCTAACCCCAGAAATACAACACACCCGTAAAACCGTGGCTCCTCTTCTTTACAACTGGAGTGGGTGAAAACGTTTGATCTCATGTTACAGAGGTAAGGAATCCAGGGAGGCCCTCGTACCCCCTGGTGGTCATAGGCAGGAGAAGACATATCATCTCTCGAGGGACTATCCTTCCTGGGAAACTTGTTGATCAAGGTTATCATGCGGCATTTCAATCAAATGGCCTAGCCACTCCAGCTGACTTCTTTTGTTCGAGGCAGCAGCAGCGGCTCTGATTTGTGCTCCTCTTAGTCTGATCTGAGACAGAGAGACACAACGCCATGATGCGTTGATGCAAGGGCTCTATGTCAAGCCTGAAAAGGGCTGCTGCCTTGGCAGAGAATCGCTTTGCAAAACTCCCCAGGCAACGGAGAAGTCTAAAATCAAAATGTCTCAGTTGCAACTCCACACCTGAGCTGATGGAGACATGTAAAATTCAGATTTAAGGCTGAGCCTCGCCCATGGAGAAAGCTAATTTCAGCCACTTGTATCTGCATCTTGCAGCCGTAGGTGGGGGGTTGGAACATAGATGGACTCGTAAAGGGAATTTTGCAGCATCTGTGGCCACTGATTGGCTTGGGGGCGGAGTCACAGGTGGCTTCGGAGCTTTCTGCCTGCTGCTTGACAGCCTGCAGCCATTTCCTGGTTTAGAGTCGGACAATAAGCCATAAAGCTGAGCAGAACAACACCACCGTTTTTCTGCTGAGGTGTGTTTCTGCGGAGATCCCTTCGCACTGTTTACTGATCACCTGATGCTACTTCTGTGTGGAGTAAAGATCACGTACACCCCCCACCCCATCCCCGGGAGTGCTGCGCCCCCGCGCCTACGAGGGCCGCAGCCACTTTCTTTCACAGAGCTGGCAGGGAAACACAACTAGACTCAGATGAGCTGAACCACGCTGTACCAAACTGTTAGGCAGAACCGTGTCATTGAAAGACCAGAAAAATACTCCATTACAACCCGGAGGGAGCAGGGGAGGTGTCAGAGTAAGTCGGGACTTTGAGGGAGGACCATGAAGGACCCCCTGCTGGAGTCAGACCTGGGAGAGAAGCTGGTCAGGTGGTTGGTGAGCCTCTGGTGGTTGAGCCTTGGGTCCTGGGCTTCGGCTGAGCTTAGTCCAGACAAGAAACAGGGAGCTATCTTCATGTTAGCCGACCCTGAAAGAGTGTGTAGTGCAAGTTGGGTGATCCTCAACCCTTCGTCCATCCTTACTTTTGTTTGTGTTAAAAGCGAAGGGCTTCAGCCATCGTTCAGCCAGTCTACGGGTTACACCACCTCATTAACCACGCTGACAGCACCAATAAAAAGTGCAATCCAGCAATTATTGAATGACACCACATACATAATCATTCTATGATCAGATAGCAAGTGTAGTGCTATAGAGACCAATCTTTAGCTTGATCTTGCATAAAAACCTCACAACTCCAGGAAGAGACACGTGCATTAGACCTGCTGACCTATCTCTGAATCGGTGCAAGGCACTTGAAACTTTCTGAGGATCAAAAATCACAAACGACGCAAAACCAAAAGCAATCCGATAAAGAAGAGGGCGCTGGGTTCCCGCATCACTACTGAGAGGGAGACAACTCCGCTCAGAAAGAAAACACATGGCATCAGATTCATGTTGATGTCAGACTCAGACCTATCACCTGACAAGGTGTCTGACTTTGTCTCAACTACACCGTCCTGGGAAGGACGGTCTTCGTCTTTCCTGGGTGAGGCATCTTGTGAAGCTGTGTCATGGCTCACGGCGGTGCTCCTGGTGTTCGTCGAGGGGCTGTCTGTGAGCTCAGTGAAGAGGGGCTCTGCTCCCATGTACACCACAGTTCTTTCTGCTGGAGACGGTGGTTTAGGGGTGCTGTCGGTGTCGTGTGCTGCAGACGGTGTGGAACCCTGATTGGTGAGTTCACTCCATCCAGCCGCAACCTCTGGCTCAATGCCCTCAGTCTCACTGATGCAGGGGAAACCCTCAGCAGGCAGTGGAGGTTTGGGCGGTCCTTCCTCCCCTGCTGTTGACAGCAGCTTCATCTCCGCCACAGAAGAACACAGAGCAGAAGCTTCTGAGGCTGGGTTTGTCACTCTAGCATCCTGGGATTCACATGATCTTTGCTGGGACTCCTGCGGTGCAAATGTGGAGGGGGCACTGATCACAGACTGCTCTGATACGCTCTGCGATTCATCCTGGAGTATGGGAGAGGCCCGTGCTGTGTCTAGCTGCACTGATTCAACAGCGAACGCTACAAAGGGTGAATTAGTCTGAAGGTCGGTGTCAGAAGACATGCAAGGTTCACCCGGGAACATGGTGTGAGTGGACTGTGTGCTGTCAACAAACGGAGGCTCGTAGTCGGGCGGTTGGACTGCAGTCTGTAGAAAATAAAAACCAGGAAGAAAAAAGGAAAAGTTGAAGAGGCCAGAAAATAGGGACATAAAAGTATTTAACCACAGTGATACAGCACGCTGTAGGAGGAAAAGCATGTCGCTGATGCTTTTCTGTGAAGCGGGCCTCATGCTGACACCGAAACTGTGATGTGGCACAAACACAAATGTATGGCCAGGCTCTCCGGGACCTTCTTATGCTGACTTACCTAAAGAATCTAAAACAACAAGGGTTCATTCAGCTGCTCTCAACTTAGGACAGAAACGGAAATGTGCAGATTTTCCTTTTCACTCCACAGTTTCTAAAGGAAACGTTTAAGAGACTCTGTCTTCAGCGATGCTAATGCAAACGCTTAGACCAGGGGTGTCAAACTCATTTTAGCTCAGGGGCCACATCGAGGGAAATCTAGTCCCAAGTGGGCCGGACCGGTGAATAAAAGAATAAAAAAAAATTCAGATTGTTTTCTTTGTTTTAATACAATCAATATAAAACAAGGCTGGAGCCTGAGGACAGTGTAGTACAAGTACAACACCTGAAGTGTACTTGAAAATTTGAAAAAAATAAATAAATCAACAAATAAAAAAGACATTCCTTAGTGATTCAAAGAGCTTAAAGATCACATGGCTAGATGAGTTTCAAGCAGCACTTAAAGTATATTTGACTCATTTTACTTTACATCTTTTAGCTTTCACCAGAACATCAATATCAGAAGTCACATCCTGAGTGGCGGCCATCTTCAGGATGGGACTCACGTTCTTGTGTGAGCCTTGAGCGCAGCTTTGTTTTATTTAGACTCATTACAGAGAAAACTTGCTCACAAAGATACGTTTATTTTCACTCTACATTGTAAAGTATGAAAATAAAGTTTACACAACCATCTCGCGGGCCGGATTTAACCCGCTTGCGGGCGGGATCTGGCCCGCGGGCCGCATGTTTGACACCCCTGGCTTAGACGATCCGCCGGGTCTTTGTAGCAGAAAAACAAAAAAAAATGGTTGCAGATAACGCTTTGAACAACCTCAGTTTAAGGAAAAGGGGATTCACGTGGCTGATGAGCTAATGGCTAGGTAATGTGTTGCTGCCGTTCTAAAACAACTTTTCGATGTGGTTCATGCAAATGAAATATTTCACACCTTTTTAATGGCCTGTATTTATATAGCACCTTCTACAACCCCCGCCCCCCAAGGCGCTTTACAACACAACCAGTCATCCACCCACCCACACATTCACACGCTGGTGGTGATGAGCTACATCGTAGCCACAGCTGCCCTGGGGCTCACTGACAGCGCCAAGGTTGCTGAACACTTGTGCCACCAGTACCCAGAACCGCCACCAGCAGGCAAGGAGGATGCCGTGCCCGAGGACACAATGACTGGGACAGACTGAGCAGGGCTCGAACCTGCAACCCTCTGGTTATAGGGCGGGTACTTGAATCCTCTCCCACCATCGCACCTTTTACAATGCTGTGGGTTATTATTGTTTAGCCCTGCGTTTAGTCTTTGTGACGTGTCTAGAAGGTCAAAACTAATCTCTATTTCTCCAAACTGAAGTTGTTCAAAGAGCTATAATTACATCGTTAGTTGTTAATAACGTTTGAACAGACACCTCCATCTAAAAGGCTTTTCAATCCTGGTTCTTCAGGCCCTGCATGCTTTAGCTGCTGTCTTTCTCTTCCACACCTTCTGCAGGTCCTACACTTCTCCAGGGGCCTGGAGACGAGAAACTACAGAGCTGATCCCTGATCAAACTATTCCTGAAAGGCCACGCTGAGGCGGTTTCACCACGAGAAAGAGAAACTGATTAAAAAAAACAACACCCAAAGAAACAGATCCCAGGTCAGATCGCTGACTACACCAAAAGGGAGGCTGGGATAGAAGAGGAGAGTGTCAGGGAGAAGATGCTACGATAGTGAGACAAGGATGAATGAATAAGTTAAGACTTCTGTTCATGCATTTACAGAGAAACATAAACACAAAGTGTGGAGGTGTGAAGCTTCTTTTAGCAAGTATAACTATGAGTTCACTCAGGGGGGCTTTTTTACAGAAATGCTGCCACTTCTGGCCTTGAAGCATCCAGAAGGAGAATCAGGTCTACAGCTATCAACAAGCACCTGCGGTCCGGTACCTGTCTGCCGCCCCCTGCTGGACGACCTACTGATGGTAAGGGCCTATTTTATTTCTTCATTTAGGTTATATTGTTATAAAACTACCCAAAAATTAAAACTGATGTGTATATTGTGATTATAACAGCATCAGTCAATAAACAGGGTTAAACGCTTTCAGCCATTAAAGGGATAAAACCTTAAGGAACCCAAACGTTTTGCACAACTGAAAGCTCACTAGAGAAAAGACGGTCCTAGCTGTGGGAATGTTGTTCAGGAATGTTTGCACACAGGGTCAACTTAAACTGTCTGTTCAGCTGGAAGATAAAAAGATGGATGTATATACATCTTAACCCTTTGATGCATGAATTATGAAATCTTCATCCATGATCTTTTTAACAATTTTTTTCATTCATCTTTAGGTGTGAATGAAACAAATTTCAACAAATATTTTTTGTTAAATTTTGTAATTTACAAATAATTTATTACATGTCCACCTTGGTGGACAGCGTGCATTCTGAGCATGAAATATGTCGGCTTGACTTACTGAGGTCCAAGTGGAGAAATGCAATAAAGTCTTCAACAGCTGTGCTGAATAGCAAAAAATAAATAAATTACAATTTTGAGTACCTGTCCACTGTAGTGACCATTATGCATCAAAGGGTTAAAGATACATTAATGAGATTAACATATCATGCAGTTCATTATAAGATTATTATAGGAGTGAATTACTTTTATCAGTTTCTGGTTGTAGAAATAAACACCGTTGTTGCTGGAGAGTTGAAAAGTTCGAACGCTAACACTTTATAACAAGGTACGCAAAACTGTACTTCGTTACTAGGGAACAACTTAGGGGGTAGTGAGTAATGAAGCAGGGAAGAATAGGTAGTTAACCAGTAGTTACTGGTGAAAACGCTCATCAGTCTTGTTTCATGGTCTAATACGTAGTTAGTCGATACCTACTGGTTTACACCCAGCAGTCTTACTGAGAGACTAATAGGTAGTTATCCATTTGTGCTTTGTTACTAGGGAGCGAAGCAGGGAGGAACAGGTGGTTTTAGAGTGTTTTTACATGTTGATTTCAAAGTTTATAAATGTAAACGTTTATTTTTGTGTACTTCTCTGATTATTTAAAAAGTACCCTAAACACTGAGCATGTTGTTAGTGACGGATTTGAGCCGGGTACCACTGTAACCTGCAGGATTTTGGTCACCCATCTCTGGAGTATCACCACACACACACACGATGAAGGAAAATGATGTGTGAATCAGCTCTATGTATTTCTGCCAAATGATCGTGTAACAACATATAAGTAATGGTTAAGTATTGAGTAAGTACAGATTAGTTCCTCAGTAGGTACTTGGGAAGAGGCTTCACTTTCCATCATCTCGAGACGGACGGTCGGACGCCGACGACGGACGACGAAGTGACAGACGAGTGAAATCAGGATGAAACAGGGATGTTGTAAATGATCTGCTTCCTTCATGAAGTTTACAAAAGAGAGTCGACATTCATCTGGGATTTGTTCCTTATTGCTTTCATGGATAACTACCTATTAGTCCCTGAAAAAGACTGATGAGCGTTTTCACCAGTAACTACTGGTTAACTACCTATTCTTCCCTGCTTCCTCACTCATTACCCCCTTAGTGGTTCCCGGTAACAAAGCAGAATTTTACGTACCTTATTGTAAAGTGTTACCGTTCGAACATTTTAGTTGTGAAATCAGATTTTTATAAACTTCCAAGTAAAAAACAAATGAACTCAAATAAAAATGGATAAAACACACCAGGTTGGGATCTGAACAGAACAGCATGCTTCGTCATATTAACGGGAGTAGAAGAGGGACGACGAGGACGACACACAGTGGACATGCTGCAGCAGGGACAGGTGAGACATTACCTAGGTTGTTGCTGAAGCTTCAATAAGCTGTGAACAATATAAACAACCAAGCCAAGGGTGATAAGCTTTAAAATGGGATAGAAGTGTTTGTTATGTTTTATTAGGAACATGAATTCAGTAGATGGCCTTGCCCTGCGTAAACATGCCTCGGTCGTCTAAACGATGACCAGCTAACTAACAGTTAAAACAACTAATCTTCTTTCTCGTTTGTGAAGTGGAAAACTTTTACTTAACATGTCTGGCCTTACCTCTATATCGATCTCTGGCTGTGTGAAGACAGGACGCCCAGCTGTGGGCCTGAGCAGTCCCGACTCCGAGCTCTCCGGTTCTCCTGCTGATGTAAAACACACACATCAGCTCAGAAACTCGCAGCCGTCTGAACAGCAGTGGTGTTTTTAAACCATGAAGCACGTGACAATAACACACCTGCACAGCGTGTCAACAGTAAACCACATAGCGAACCAGGTTCGTGGTCATTTACACCAAATTAATAATCAGATTCCCACGTAGTGGGAGACCGAAAGCCGAAGAACAGTCTCCGTCTTTTCATTTAAATCTTGGAAGTGGGTACGAAACTAAACTCTACCCATCTGTTGTGTCTTCTGTTTACTGCACATAAAGAAGTGAAGCAATAGCAGGCATGCATGCTGTACCTTCTTCTTCATCCTGACCCTCAGAAGCTAAATCATCATTCAAACTGAAAGAAAAGAAACAAATCTGGATCACAACACAGGCAAAAACACCGGCTGGTGAACAGTTTGAAAACATTTGTTCATGCAACGTGTAAAAATGAGAGTCACAAACCAAAGAGTTCAAACCACTTCTTACTTCTTATTTAAAGATGTGAAAAAACATTCAATCCCTTACAGAAGTCTCCTGTTTTTGCATTAATCACACTTAATGTTTCAGATCAACAAACAAATGTCTGACAAAGGAAATGGTTTAATGGTTCCTTCCCGGAACGGCGCTGCTCTGGGTGGCTGCATGTTGGAGTAGCTCTGTCGACTAGATGTAAGTTTTGCCTTTTCTTGGGCATTTTTTCTTCTAGTTTCTCAAGAAAAACTGTATTTTTTGGACATTTTACTTTTCTGTTTCTGGTGCTGTGAAGCTTGGAGGATTTTTACTGCTATTTTTTTAAGCTTTTTACACTTTTTGAGCATTTGTTATGATGCGTAACCATGGCAACAAATGGTTTGCAATCGGGAGCAGCTGATTAACATTGGAAAGGCTGAAATAATACCTCAACTGAAGCCACAAATCCCAAATGAGCTAAAACGCAAGAAGCGTGGGTGCAGAGCGGGAGCAAAACGGAGACAGAGAAAGAGGAAATTCAAACCATCTCTTCCATCGATCATAACGGGCGATGTGAGATCACTGGCCAACAAGATGGAGGAACTCCAAGCCCTTTCAAGGACTCGGCCAGAGTTTTGGAACCGCTGGAGGAGATAATACAAAGAAGGATTCTCCAGAGAATCAAGAAAATGATGGACAACCCTGAGCATTCTCTTCACAAGACTGTCCGACAACGGAAGAGTGTCTTCAGTCAGAGGCTTCTTCAGTTTGGCTGCAACACTGACCGCTACTGGAGATCCTTCCTGCCAACAGCCATTGTAATATACAACAACTCTTTGATGACTTGATTATTATTATTATTATTATTATTATTATTATTATTATTATTATTATTATTATTATTATTATTATTATGAGCTGCTACAGCAATCTATTTCCGTCTGGGATTAATAAAGCATTTTTGAATTGAATTGAATATAAAATGCTCTAATTATTTCCTTTATTAAGGGAAAGGCCATGTAAACCAGCCGACGTTAAATTGCTGTTTCTCTCATTGTTAAACCATGAATTAACTAAACTTAATCACAATTTTCAGTTCGGCCACATCCCCTCCATATGCAGATGTGGACAAAAGTGATGGCGACCCTAAAAGACTGACAGTAATGTGACCAAAGGAATACGTGAATTCAATGTGTCTTACAGAAATGTAAGAGGGCTCATCTTTTGAAACGGCGTGAACAGAATGTTGCCAGGAGCCCAGTGAAGGATGCCAGAGGCTTAACAAAAGTGACCAGCATGTGAAGGGAGCTCCCGTGGCTGGCCGCACTCCTTCTGCTCATCGCATGCTCTGGTTTAGATCTAAAGGGTACACGGGACTTTTGGTCTTTGCAGATCTGGAATCTGAAGCTGCTCACCACCCGAACCGTGATGAAACATTCCGCTGTTGTTCCAGTAAGAATCAGCTCGTCGTGATGGACCATTTAAAGCTGGAGAAGTCTGACCTGAGACAACCCCGGACCTCGGCCTGAACTTTACCCTCGAGGAAAAGTATTTTGGTGGGACAGAGAGGGTGTGTGACGGATATGCTGTCAACATGGCTGCTCCTGCAGCTCCTAAAGTAACCGCTCAGATCTTTGAATGTAGGGTTCTACAGGAAGCTTATACACAAATAATATCATACCTGTGGAAGCTATTTCTTTAGAAGGCCTGAATTTAGAGGCACAGATTCATTGTGATTGGATTGATGGGCTAACAGCTAGTAAGAGCAAGACTATATTGGGGCGACGGTGGCACAGGAGTTAGGTGCTCGCCCCGTAATCGGAAGGTTGCTGGCTCGAGTCCCGCTCAGTCTGTCGCTGTCGTTGTGTCCTTGGGCAAGACACTTAACCCACGTTGCCTGCTGGTGGTGGTCGGAGGGACCGGTGGCGCCAGTGCTCGGCAGCCTCGCCTCTGTCAGTGCGCCCCAGGGCAGCTGTGGCTACATCGTAGCTCATCCCCACCAGTGTGTGAATGTGGGGTGAATGACTGATTGTGTTGTAAAGCGCCTTGGGGGGGGGGGGGGGGGGATGTTCCAGGACTCTAGAAGGCGCTATATCAAATACAGGCCATTTATATTGAACTGCTGTTATGAAAAAGCCCAAGTCACAATATCGTCAGCGGTTTATTCACATAGCAGAACAATCCTCCACTTTGGTGTTGGATCATCAGTCTGGGCAGAACCAAGTTCTGTTCCTCCAAAGTGACGAAGCTCAGGAAGCTAACATAATATGCATCTGTAACATTCAAAGTTTCCATAAAAAATATTCAGATGTTACGTTAACCTGTTTTGTCTTCATCATGGAGAGTGTGCTGCAACATGTTCTGCTTTCTAAACTTTTATTTTTTTAAACGTCTCTTATCAAATGCCTCCACACCTCTAGAGCAGCAAGGGTCCAAACAGCAAAACACCACCCACTCCTGGTTCATAGAGGCACGAGCCTGGAGGCCTATAGTCACAGCTTCTGCCTGTGTGACCAAACACTGGGAGGTGTGCCGCCTTGATGTTAGAGGAAATAGCTGCTTTAGACTTCAGAGGGAGGCAACACTCTAGTGTGCCAGGCTCTTGATTACACGCAGGACGGTGCCAATCTGTCGCTCTGACATCACTCTGATCTCCAATGACTGATAGAAAAGGTCAGAGGTAAATTTTAGCGTGGGGCTAAAAGCGACACCTGCCTCTCGCCTATTTTGATCTCCTTGCAGACCACTGGGTGATTGGCAACAGCTTTCTATGTCTCACAGCAGAAAGATGTTGGTAAGAGAACAAAACCAGCCATGCTTTAAACATCGTCCCTGTGAAGGTGCAGACCAGAAACCATTTAGAAGCTTTTCTGAAAGTCTAAATCCGTGTTTTCAGGCTGCATGCTCATCACAACACACTGTTAAATTGACCAGAATCCCAGCAGGCAGGCAGCCCGTGGAGGCCCCTGCTCTCCTCCCGCCCCACAGCCAGCTACCTGAGAACTTTGGGGGGTTTCAGGATGCTTCTTCTTTGCTGCGCGTTCATGTCGGTCCGAGCTGGATCATCCTTCTCATCTTCGTAAGACAGGAGCAGCGTGACAGCGTAATTCAAGCTAGAGTTGTTGGCCCAGTAATCTCCGTCGGATGTTTCATAGCGCACCACAAACTCTATGCGCGAGCCGTGCGTGGTGTAAGGTGGCGTGAAGCACAGCGTGAAGGAGAACTGATCGGTGTCCACGTCGTTGGACCCCTGGACGTACTCAGCTGGGTAGTCAAAGTAGGAGGCCCACTTGTCCATGGTGGATCTGATATAAACGGCTTTGTGGAAGGAGACGTTCAGGACTCGTATCAGCCCGCTGAAGGCCAGAGGGTCGTCCTCTGATGGACAAATGTGCTCCACCTCCACCTTGTTGGAGCGCACCGCCTGCAGCAGGAGGCTGCCTTCAGGAGCCTGGAACTCCGGGTGCACTTTATAGCTCGGCTCCCGCTCTGGCTTGCGATACTTGGCCTCCTCTTCCTCCCACTTGGCACCATTTTCCTCCTCGTCCGAGTCGAAGGCGTGGAATTCTCGCACATCCACCAGGTCGCCACCTGTTGTGTCGGAAAATGACACCCTCTTCCCGGCGGACAGAGCCAAGTGGCTACGCAAGTACTCGGCGGTCTCGTCGTAGATGGACGCGCCTCGCTTTCGGGGTATCGGGGAGCACCTGGGGATGAGCCGGGCGTCCTCCGTGTCATCCTCCTCATCTTCATCATCATTGACGCTGTCCGCGTCCGCGCGTGCTGCTGCCTCCTCGGCTGACGCGTCAGCATTCGTCCCGGTGAAAAGGCCCTCCTGGCTCGGTATGGTTAAAAAGGACATGTCTGCAGACGCCTGGGAGAGGACATGTGACGTCTCGGGTCACTAGCGTATACTGGAGTTTGCGCCGCAGCGCAGATCCAGCGCTGTTCCTGCGTTATTACGCACGGATCCGCTTCAGTCAGCGTGAGGCGTTAAATGTCACCACGGAAAACCGGACTCCTGCCAGCCTGTGTGACGGCGGGTCTCCCGGTGTGAGCGACTTTATGCTGGCCCGATCGATTGGCAGCTCTCGCGAAAGCAGCAGCGTCTAATTATAGCACTGACCTGCCAGGGTCACGTGACCCATATCTGTTTTGAAATTGGTTTAATCCTGAGACCGGTTCCACTTGGTTCGGTCTGGTTGAAGCGCCTCTCAAATAAACCATGCAGATATGAGTTCATTACACCAACCAGAGTCACGTGCTTCTGCGGAAGGTTTCCTACAGACATGATCAGGTGGAAATCAGGATTTGAACACGGAGCTCATACTCTGGTTTGGTACTAGACCCAGCGGTTGTTGCTCATTCTTGTTTTTTTTAACTGTTTTGTCCGGGAGTCGAAGTGCGCGGGTTCGATTCCCGCTCAGTGCGAATACAAAAGTGGAAATGTATGCGAAATCTGATAAAAACACTAATTATGTAAATATTTTTTCACAATTACCACTTCAAATTTAATTATAAAGGTGATGAAGAACCACTGAGCTATGAAATATATTTGTGATAATACACATGTAAAATTATAGAATATATATGAAAAAAAATGCATCTGTGTTGAAATATATTTGTTATGTTATATAAAACATGTAATAAATGTACCTGTGTCCAAGGTCGTAAAAATAGTCTGACATTTAAAGTGTGTATCATTTTAATATTGAAAATCACAATAATAAAAAAAATAGAAAATCTAAAGATTATTTACATGTTTAGCCAATTTTTTTACATATACATTTACAAAAGTTAAAGTCCCAAAATTAAAAAATGAGGGATTGTCCCAAAAAAGTCACTGTTTTTCTGGCCCTCCTCCAGTCTTGCTCTTCATCTCCTCCTTCCACTCCTCTACAGACTTCCCACCAACAGATGCGCAGTAGGACACACCTGCAATGCGGGTGTGGCCAGTGTCCAGCCGCTTGGGCTGACCACATTTGCTGCAGGTGAACTGCCGGCGGGCTGTCTTTGATGGTGGAGCCTGCACGCCAGCAGCAGCAGCAGCCTCCGCTGCCTTCCTCCTCCTAAATGCTGTCGTCCTAGGCATAAGAACAGGAGGAGTCAGCGGAGTGGATCCCAGGCAGGGACGAGTGGCGTGCAGGCTCTGAGCAGAAGAAGGAGGGAGGTTGCAGCTGGTACAGGGTATCTGCAGGTTTAAGGGAGCCAAATTCAAGACTTTTTAAGACCTTTTTTAAGGCCATTTTGACCAAATTTAAGCAATTTTTTTTTACTTTAAGCTATAATTTCCAGCTATCGCCTGGAACCGGTGCTAACCATGTTGCCAACGTGGGATAAGCTATCCAGTTACCATTAAACTTTCACATGCCCATGGCGCAAGCTCCCACTAGCTTAACCAGCTAATGTGCTCGTCTAAAAATAGGCCCCTTTCACAACCAACTGAATGTGTACGGTTCTGCTTACGCCAACGTCATACACAAAAAATGCTGAACACTAACTAGAAATTTATGAAAATTTTTATAAATAAGACCTTTGGAAACTGTATTTAAGGATTATTTGTCATTGTTAAGGATTTTTAAGGCCTTAAATTTGGAAAAGCAAATGTAAGACTTTTTAAGACTTTTTAAGGACCCGCGGATACCCTGTGGTAGAGGGACCGGGATGAGGAGCAGGTGGAGGTAGTGGTGGCGGCGGCAGTCCCCTGGAGGAGGGACCAGGATGTTGCTCCTCGGGGAGGTTGTATGTAAAGGGCTGTCCTCTTCCCACCTGTACGGAGGACAGCCCTTTGGCAGAAGGGATGGGCTGGTGGGAGAAAGTTGGAGCAGAAACGGCGCCAGTTCCCTGCTCCAGCACACCTTTCTCCCACCCCTTCTGTCTATAGCTGAACCTGGAAGGACAAGAGGATGAGCTGAGTTGAGGCTGCAAGCTTTAACCTGAAGTCTGAAACACGAGCAAAGATCTACCAGTTCTCACCATTGAGAGATGGTCTTTTGGTTCAGCTCATAGAGCTGAAGCTGGGTCTGAGCCATCAGCCTCGGGCAATTCAGCACCACCTGTCTGACGGCCATGTAGTCGTTGCAGATTAGGAACCAGCGTGACCTGCTGACCCCGTCCACGCGACCGGCCGCAGGGTGCAGACGGCAGAGCTGGCTGCACATGGCCTCCACCACACGGCTGGCGTCTGGCCAATTTGCAGCGCCCGAGGGTTCTCCTCCAAGGCAGCTGGAAGATAAAGACGGGGAAGTTGTTTTAACGGACAGAACACGTCGACGGGAACAGTGAGACTCAGGAAAAAAGTTCGTACCGCTGGAGACTCACTACCCCTGGACAGGAGGTGTCCTTCCCCTTCGCTGCCTTGAACCGCCCCTTTGGTTGCCTCTCCCGGTATCTGCTAGGGTAGACGATCCGTTGTTTGTCTCGCTCTGGCAGGCGTTGCCAAAGCGCGATGAGTCTGTCTACCCTGCTGTCAGACAGCCCCTGGAGACTCCTGAGCTCCACCAGGACCTGAGCCAGCTTCAGGACATGCTGGTATCCTGGCTGGCCGTCAGGACCCTGGATCTCCTCCTGAGAAACAAAGAAAATGGGAAAAAGAAGTTAAATTTCTGAAATATCTCTGAATACGTGAAAAAACAAAATTAGGTTGATCGGCTGTGAAATGATTAGCAGAGGGGATCAAAGACCTCTGAATCAGAGGAGTGTTTCTCTTCAGGAGTCTGGCTTCCAGGGACCTCGGGAGGGGCGGCAGGATGTGCTGGCTCAGACCCGGGTGCGACAGCTGGATCCCCTGACTGGGCTGCTCCTGAAGTGCTGGTGGACGGGACGTCATGAACGAAGGTGGCGACGTGGTCGCCCACGTCCTCCTGGATGCCCTCGTCCAGGTCGGTGACGGCAGCAGCCTCGTCTGGAGCGTCAGGGTCCATGCTGACGTCCTCAAGCACGCGGCCTGTCTGCTGGAACAGGTACTCCACCCCGATGAGCTCACCTGAGAGTTTGTGGAGATGTAAACGGTTCAAAGCCCCTTCTTAGCAAAGCATTGGTGCACAGTGTCATTAAACATCACGAGTAAATAAAAGGTGTTCCTCTGTTCCTCTACCTGTGTAAGCAGCAGGCTTGGTGAAGTCCTTAACCATCTGAGGACCAAGCACCTTTTGGCTCTTCTGGTTAAGGGCGTGCCTGAGGTGGCCACTGTAGGACAGCAGAGGCGCCTTGTGTCGCTCAGCTGCCGCTGCGCGGTCCTCGTTCCACCTGACCAGTCCATCAATCAGGAACGCCTGGAAGTACTTGGCACTGGCCGACGTTCCTGCGTGATTAGATGAGAAAATCAGCTCAAGCTTTTACTGACACCTGAAAATGAACAGTTTACAGAAATAAAACAGATTTCTTGACAGACTCTGGTTTCTCACCTGGGATGAAGCGGTTCAGGTGGAGATGGAAGGACTCCAGGGAAGTGGAGCCCCTCGCGCAGCGATAGACGGGCAGTGTGACCCCTCCTTTCTGCAGACTGCCCGTCTGGGTGTACAGCTGCACGCCAGGGGGGTCCTGGATGCAGCTGAGGCGGCGCCTCTGCGCGTCCCAGATGTCCTGGATGAGGAGAGCATTTAGCAACGGGATGTTCAGCGTGTTGTGTCCTGCGGACCCTCAGAAGGTGTCAAGGAGGTTTTGGATGAGGAGCGTAGACTCCTCGGCTCCACGCGTCCTCCTGCGGCAGTGGAGCCTCCACTCCTCCTTGCTGATCCGCTGGATCACATCAGCGTCCGTCAGGTTGACCATCCCGTGCGTCCTCTCCAGCTCGGACCGCTTGGCTCCCGCGAGACGGCGAGCATCTTCGGCGTCCACCTCGAAGATGCAGTAAGACAGCTGCCTCATGAAGGTGGGATACAGCTCGTGGATCTGTGGTGACACCTGAAGCGAAGCGGCGAATCAGATGCCAGATGTCCAGCCTAACTGTGAGCTGTTCCCACTACTGCGACAGAGAGGTTAGTCACTGGAGTGTTGCACACCATGTTTTACCTGCACCACAGTCAAGATCAGAACCCAAAAACATTCACTGCTCTATAATTTGTCTTTTACAGAAATGAATTTGGGTGTCTGATTGTTTTAAAATTTTCAGAAAGACATTGTGTAGAACTTCAGGTGACCTGGTGATCCATTAAAGTAATTCACAAGAAAATAACGAATCATTGCTATGAAAAATTAAATAAAACAACTAAAGAAGTCAGTCAGCAACGATGCAAGTTTATACCGGAAATAAGGCAGCCGTCTTGAAGTAGAGAGAAACGAGAAACGAGTCGACATCTGTTCACATCTGACTGTCACCAACAACATATGAAATGAGCACATTTCTGTCACTTACGTTGCCCTTGGTCAGCTACCGCCTGGACCAGCTCTCCATCACTGGGCTGCCCAGATGCTGTGGGTGGACGAGCTGGTCTGAAGGAGGCTGGAAATCAAACCATCAAACATCGCTTCTGCTCCAGAAAGCGTGAGTGTGAAACACTCAATGTGCTGACCTTGAGTACAAGAATACAAACGAGATCATTAAACAGACTTACATGGAAATGCAGGCTTAGCGGCCGCCATCTTTTTTAGTTTTGCCTGCATTTCCACCGCAGACAGAGAACGCTGCCCAGTGTTAGTTTAACAAGCTAGCTAAAACAACGTTGACATTTCACGACATTACGGTAAAATCTAAATCCTGTACCGTCTTAATCCCCCTGAACGAGCTGTAATGCTTTTAATTGTTTTAAGTTTTTTTATTACAAATAAAAATTATAAAAGATAGTTACTTCTCCTCTCAGATCTCGGAGCGGAGCAATGGCGGACCGCTCGGACAGGCCGTGACAATCCAGCTCTCTGATTCGTTGGCAAAAATGTCAGTCTCAAGAAATGGAACAACAAACTGCTCCTCTCATTCTTCTCGGTGTTTCTTTTTTTTTTTTAACTGTTTTGTCCGGGAGTCGAAGTGCGTGGGTTCGATTCCCGGTCGGTGCGAATACAAAAGTGGAAATGTATGCGAAATCTGATAATAACACTAATTATTATGTAAATAATCTTTCACAATTACCACTTTAGATTTAATTATAATTGTGATGAAGAACCACTGAGCTGTGAAATATATTTGTGATAATAGACATGTAAAATTATAGAATATATATGAATAAATGCATGTGTTGAAATATATTTGTGATGTTATAAAACACATGTAATAAATGTATCTGTGTCCAGGATCATAAAAAAATTCAGATTTAATGTTTTTCGTTTATATATATATATATATATATCTTCATCTCCTCCCTCCACTCCTCTACAGACTTTCTGCCAACAGAAGCGCAGTAGGACATGCCTGCAATGTGTGGCCAGTGTCCAGCCGCTTGGGCTGACCACATCTGCTTCAGGTGTACTGCAGGCAGGCTGTCTTTGATGGTGGAGCCTGCACGCCAGCAGCAGCTGCAGCAGTAGCCTCCACTACCTTCCTCTATGAATGAAGCCGACCTAGGCATAGACATTCTCTTATCTTTGGAGCTCATGACTTCAAATAAGTGTTTAAATTCTTGCAGTGAGCTTTTATTGTGAAGTTCTTTTCTTTACATGTCCATGTGTACAGCAGGTTGTTTAACACATTTAGATTGTTAGTATTCTTGTCAGATCATTTATTTACAGAAGAAAAGAGCTTGGTCCCTCAGCTCCTCGACGCATCCAATCTCCCGTCCTTATCAGGTGTAAATAGCACATCTTTGGAGGAGTTTACAGGAAAACAGGAGCTTGGGTGAGGAAATTCATAAACCACTGAGGACAAAGGTTAGAAATCGTGACAGGACAAAAATCCCAACAACAAACCAGGTGTGGTTCACAGGTAAACAGCCAGCAAACGTGGAGCGAAAACCTCGTCACACGTGAGAAACTCTGCTGAGCAGCAGGCGGTGGAGTGGATTTTATACAAGCCACATTTATTACACGTTAGAGAACATCACAAACACATTTGAGTTCAGCAGTGTCACCGGTTCATTATTGGGTTTCTTTGTCGACTCCACAGTCTCTGTTTAAAGTCCAAAATGACTTTATTAATCTCAGAAGGAAGTTAAGTGTTGTCTTAACTAATTCTTCAAAGCAGTCATTAAAATAAATACAAGTAATAATAATGAGCTCAGTTGGAAATCTGAGTGGTTGTGGCTGTGGGCAGGAAGGATCTGCTGCGTTACAGCAGCTCTGAAGAAGATGCTCAGTGTTGTCTATAATGTTATTGATTATATGAAAAGTCCTTCTTTGCACCATCATCTCCAGTGCATGGTCCTCAGTCGTCTCCAGAACAGAACCAGCCTTTGTTGCCAGGTTGTTGAGCCTTTTTAGGTCCCTGCAGGCTCTGATGCTGCTGCCCCAACAGCTGGTGGCCCAAGAGATCTCAACAGACCTGTAAAAGATCTGCAGCCTCTTGCTGCAGACCTTGAAGGATCTAAATTATTATTCAAGATATACAGTCTACTCTGTCCCTTCTTGTAGGCTTCACGCTTGTGTCTCCAGTCCAGTCTGTTGTCCAGATGAACACCGAGGTATCTGTAATCTTCCACCACCTCCCCCTACTCCCCAATAATGCATGTTGAGCTCTTCCCGTTTCTTTCTAAATCATCTCATTTGTTTTGTTCACATTCAAGATTATGTGAGTGTCCCCACACCACGCCACAAAGTGGTCCGCCAGCTCTCTGTACTCTTGACCATCCCTCATAAACCCGACGACTGCAGAGTCGTCTTGAGTCTTTCTGCAGATGACAGGTCTCCGACTTGTTCTGGAAGCCTGCAGAGTGAAAAGGAATGGTGAGAGCGCTGTACAGGCATCAGATGTACAAATGTGGAATAATTTTCCCAACGAGCAGATCAGTATAATCTCACATTAAACAAAGAACATAAACAGGGAAATACCAGTTAGAAACATGCTTTTACACTCAGAATACAGAAAATAGAGAACTTTGTGCCAACTGGGGACGTGGTGAAAGACCATTTCACACTACTCTCCTCCTTGTTAGTTCAGAAGAAAATACTACCATGTCTTAAACATCGCTCGTAAGACAACAAACTGTTTTTTAACATGTTAAAAGTCTAATTGTTGTTTTAAAGTAACAATTGTACGTCTCAGTCAGTTCAGTAGCGGAGGAACGCCAGCTCGGAGTGAAAGAGGATCTATTTCAGAGTTGAAACAGTCCAGCTCTCTATTTAGATGCTGAAAACCCTTGCTTCTCTAGCTTGGAACAACCCAGTCATTTGATTGGTCAAATGTTGGATCTGAGCAGGGGGACACGCTCCTAACTGCTTCATAACAGTGTCCTTTAGGGTTATTATGTTATTTAAAAAATAAAAATGAGGAACGCTTCACGAATTTGCGTGTCATCCTTGCGCAGGGGCCATGCTAATCTTCTCTGTATCGTTCCAATTTTAGTATATGTGTTAGCGAGCTAACACGACAAAAGAGCGATTTCTGAGCCGGATTCAAGAGCTCAATGTTCGGTTTGTGTAGTAACTTATGGTGCCGATCAAAGGACCCAGCTGCATTATGGGAGAAGTGGGCGGACTAAGCGGAAGTGCCGGCTAAAATGTTGAGGATAAATGTGTTTAACTCATCTCAGTTACGCTATGAAAGCACCGTGGCTCTAGCACTGCACACGTGATAAACAATAACACCTAACTCGTTGTGTTACACTGAATGTTTATGGTATTTGTTGGTTTTAGTCCCGCTGACCAACTTCTCAGCACTCTTAAACAGTACACACACGATCTGTCTGGTCCATTACCAACAAACCTGCTTGTTTTTACTATATCGGTTGAGTTAAACGCATAACAGCTGTTTGCCCTCTTTTAATTACCCGAAGAGTAAAGGCGTATTCGAGTGGATTGTCGTAGGTGGAAAAAAAGAACAAAACAGACTTCAAAAACTGTAATTGCGTTGACTAACCACCAGAGGTCGCGGTCAGACTGCTATAATTTATAAATCCTCCAAAAGCCACACGAAAAACTGTAATTGCGTTGACTAACCACCAGAGGTCGCGGTCAGACTGCTATAATTTATAAATCCTACCAAAGCCACACGAACGCCGTCTATGAAACCAGTGCCAGCCCTTTTCAGAAAGACATTCTGGAACATTTGTGGACAATTCAATCCGTTTTTTAACCGGAACTGTGTTTTCAGACACACCACTTTTGTACCGGAACTTGTCCTTTCGGCTGCGTTCACACAGCAGGGAAAAGTTCCAGAAGTCTGACGGCGGGGGGGGGGGAGGGTCGGGTCGGGTCGGATAATTCTGCGCACACGAAGACGCATAAGAGACCTGGATGATGAAGCTCAATGGTTAAAGGAATCACTGAAGCGGTGAGAAGCGCTCCGTCGCGCGTCTAGACGGTACCGTAGGAGGCGAGCTGCCGTGGTTCGCCGCATGCTACAGCAGCGGGCTATCTGGGTGCGCACAGCGTCCCCCGCTCCCCTCCCCCTCGTCCGGAACTCTACCTCACCATTCTGAAGCAGCCAGGACCCTGTCCGTAACATGTCCGGACCTGTTACTAGGGGCTTCGTCCGGAACATTTCCGTTTTTCATGGCCTGTCTAGAAAGGGGCTATGTGACCATGCAACAGGTGATTCTGTTAAAACAGTCAAATGAGCAGACAGGACACCAGTATGTTGCTGCGTCAGCTCCTCGTCGCAGAATTAATATTAACACCTTTAACCATGTCAAGCAGCACATTCTCTACCTTTCATAGTCAGACACTTATTTTACTGCATTTGACATGTTCTTGCAATACTGGTTCATCACTACATGTTCATAAAATAATAAAACACTCATGGAACAAACTTAATAAAATATTTCTACTCCACGTGAGCTTTAAAATAATATAAACGTAAACCAGTTTAAACAACTCCTTCTCATCAACTACCTTGCCTATTTTCACTATTTCACCTACATGAACAAAATAACACTTCTTTCTCAGCAACGCCATTCGTTTTACACACAGGATAAAACCCAAATCAACATGACGCAGTTCATGTGCCGCCGCCGCCATATCAACTTCGCCTTCGGGGCGCCAGGCGGGCCTACAGCTCATTAACCACACATTAAGAACAAAACTTCCCCAAAAACGATTAACACGTCTTCACACGGCTTTCACCCGTTTATCGCTCTTATAAGATGATACTAACCTGTTAAAACAGTCAAATGAGCAGACAGGACAAAAGTTTGATGTTGCTGCGTCAGCTCCTCGTCGCAGAAGGAAAAGCTAACGGCCGCACCAATGTCCGCACCGTGCCTCTCACGTGAGGGGCAGTTGTTGTTCTATTTGTACCATTAGATTGACCAATCAAATGGCCGTATTTTTTTTATTTTTTCTACACTGACATTTTTGCCGACGAATCAGAGAGCGGGATGCTCACAGCCTATCCGAGCGATCCGCCATTGCTCCGCTCCGAGATCTGAGAGATGAGAAGGAACTATCTTTTATCATTTTTATTTGTAATTAAAAAAAACTTAAAACAATTAAAAGCATTACAGCTCGTTTAGGCGGATTAAGACGGTACAGGATTTAGATTTTGCCGTAATGTCGTGAAATGTCAATGTTGTTTTAGCTAGCTTGCTGCTGAATTACGCTGCTGTTAACTAATATCTACATGTATTTAAGCAATTTTTTAAATGAACACCATCCTGATTGTATTAAAAAACACGTGTAAGTGTTTATTCAACCATGTTGCTGATCATCACGATCATGCATGTTTGGGCTCTGATTAGCTTTATCTTCACTTATAGAAAATCCAGCCAATAGCTGGGTTTGCTAATTAGCTTTTGGCTACCTAGAAAATGTGTTTGTTTATTTTGTTGTTTATTTCACATAAGACAGGACAGCACGTCATGTAAACTAATAATAACATTAATGAAAAATAAGATAATCTGTTACTGATCAGCAGTTGCTCAGGTTTTGTTTGAGCTGTAAACCTGGTTTTCCTGCAGCTCCTCATCCAGTCTTTTCCTCCTTTATTTAGATGGAACATCCAACTTTTACAAAGGCCAAGAAAGGGACCCTGATCCTCAAGGCCTCAGATGAAATAAAAGAAAAATCCAAAAAAAGTCAAGACAGTTTTTCTGTCTTGGTGCCTCAGCTCCGCAACACATCCAATCTCCCTCCAGTGTTATTCTTCATCTCCTCCCTCCACTCCTCTACAGACTTTCCGCCAACAGATGCGCAGTAGGACACGCCTGCAATGTGTGGCCAGTGTCCAGCCGCTTGGGCTGACCACATCTGCTTCAGGTGTACTGCAGGCGGGGTCTTTGATGGTGGAGCCTGCACACCAGCAGCAGCTGCAGCAGTAGCCTCCGCTACCTTCCTCTATGAATGAAGCCGACCTAGGCATAGACATTCTCTGGTGAACCACTGGGGGCGACAGTGGCTCATCCTCAGGCGCAATTAAGGATTCATGGGATTGCTGAACTGTGCGTTTGTCTTCTAATTTATTTTTGTTTAAAATTACTTATTAATTTTTATCTGACAACTTATAGAATCACACTAGATGTGTGTGTGTGACAGTGTGTGGCCTGTTGATCAAGGTCATGCCAATGTCAAAGAATGTCACGTTCTGCCTCTGCCCTCCTGACTGGGTTTCTCTCCTGCCCTGATTAGTTCGTATTGTTCTCACCTGTCCCTCGTTAACCTGCCCATGTTTCCCTAATTAGCCTTCTGTATTTATACCACCTGTTTTGCTCCTGACCCTTGTCAGATCACTGTTGCTTGTAGTCCTTGTGTTTTGTTCCTGGCGTTTCCAGTCCTCCATTAAAACCATTTTACTTTTACTGAAGCCTGCATTTTTTACCTCCTGGTCAGCTCTGCCACACATGGTCCGCCGTCATCCACACCTGCATCGTGACAATGAAGAGAACTTATATTTATAATTTCATATGGAAATTCATAACTTATTTATTTATTTATTTTATCTAGTTATTCATTTATTTATAAACAAATTTTGGACGGTAGACCCTTGGTAATGAGTGTCTTCTCAGTCTTGTGCTAAGTTTCCACACGGGCCCTTAGGGTCAGGGGTCAGGACACCACCACTTGGAGGCTTGCAAAGTAAAAAAAAGGCTGTAAATCCTGTAAAGCTGCAATGAAACATGCTGCTGCATCCCTGGTGTCTACATGATCGTGGAGCCTTCATCACAGCAGCCGTTGCACTTCCCAACAAGCCCTATAGGTCCATTACACGTGTGGAGTTTTTTTTTTTTTTTTTGTTAACAGTTTGTTGTTATTTTAATGCTAAAATCATTTTTGCTGTACTGTTTTTTATTCTTATCGTTCAGTTTTTGTTTTACCTGTGTGGAGGAGTATACTTTTCAACCATAACTTAGTGAATTTTGCTCAGAGTGTTCTCCTGAAGCAGAGGAAACACTTTCTGTCAGGGACAAATACCTTGGCACAGCAACTGATTATGAATCCATGCCCAAGGTTCACTAAACTGAGAAAACGGATTTTACCACCTTCAAATAATTTCTCCATCTGACTCACTTCAGGCCCCGTAGTTGAGAAAGAGGATGATACAAGAAATTAAAGACTGGATAAGTTGGTGATTACCCGCCTGGGGGCCCGTGATCCCCCAAGAAGCTCCCCACAGTTTTGTCTATGCTGTGGTTGTGAGGTTACGTAGATTATATTAGTAAAAAATGCAATCCCACTGAAACGTCCAATATTATATTTGGAACTCTGAATAAGAGCTGTAACGCTATGTCTGTAAGTTTGAATTTAATCAATTTTAATGTGTGTATGTGGGTAGGAGGAGGGGTTGGAGGTCCTCATGAACAAAAGTTTGGGAACTGCTCATTTAATGAAACTGATCATGAGGTTATGTGGTCTCCTTTTAGAATGAAAAGGGCACAGCTCAAAGACTTTAGACGGGTCAAATCCATGTGGGTAAAAGGGTATGGGACAGGACTAGACCACTGCAATTTGCAAATTCAACTCAAGTTTATTTATAAAGCGTCAAATCACGACGAGAGTCGTCTCAAGGACCTTCACACATAATAAACATTCCAATACAGGTCAGTTCATTAAGCCAATCAGTAAATGTTTCCTACATAAGGAACCCAACAGGTTGCATCAAGTCACTGACTAGTGTCAGAGTCTTTACAGCAGTCCTACTAAGCAAGCATGCAGCGACAGTGGAGAAGAAAACTCCCTTTTAACAGGAAGAAACCTCCAGAGAATCCTGGCTCAGTATAAGCAGCCATCCTCCACGACTCACTGGGGATGGAGAAGACAGAGCAGACACAGACACACACACACACACACACACACACACACACACACACACACACACACACACACACACACACACACACACACACACACACACACACACACACACACACACACACACACACCACGCAATGTGTCCATGGTTATATTGTGATTTCTTAGTAAATATTCTATTTGGTGAGAGATAAATTTTATTGTATTTATCCTAGTGGATCTATAATTAAACGGGTAAACTAGTAGTAGCACATTCAACGTCAAGGAAAGTAAAAAGTTATTATCAGGAGAGGGAGAATGTTTTAGTGGTTAGCAGCAGTGTGCTAGACGATGGCCCCCTCCATGAGGCCACCACAGCTCAGCAGAACACCGTTGTAGCTTCTTCTGGGGAGAAAAACACTTAGAGAGAAAATAAAGTTAACTGCTGAAATAGCAGGAAATAATACAGTTAAAGAGCAGATAGTAGAAGAAAGTAGTAGAGTGTGGAAAGTGGTCAGTGTATCCTCCAGCAGTCTAAGCCTATAGCAGCATAACTACAGAGATAACTCTGGATAACATAGCCTTTTAGATGGAGGCATGTTGGAGGCAGGGCAAGGGAGAGCCGTCTTTACCGACTGTACACTCCACCTCCCTCTACTCCCCCACTTGACCAGATTTAGGCTAACATCAGATTTTAACCATAGGCCCTATCAAATAAAAATGTTTTAAGCCTATTCTTAAATGTAGACAAGGTGTCTGCCTCAAAGCTGGGAGCTGGTTCCACAGGAGAGGAGCCTGATAGCTAAGATGGGGGCGCGCACGGGTGCAGCGGCTCTTAGCTCTCCAGTTTGGTGCTCGTTTTTATTTCTATTTTTATCGTGTATATATGTTTGTAACGCCACCGTCTCTTACAGTCGCCAGAACCTAATTGACCTAGGTTTTAAATACAGTTTGCATGTTTCTGGCGACAATCAGCGAATACACAACATCCTGGAGGATAGCGAGGCTGCCGGGGTCATCGTGGATGGTCTGTCCGCCCAGCAAGCGCAGAAGGCGACGGAGGGAGAGAAAGCAGAAGAGGGGATGCCGGTCGGGCTCTGGTGCTAGGCTACGCAAACAACCACACCGGCCAGCACTTCCAAGCCTTTTCCTGTCGAACGCCAGATCCATCACCCACAAACTGGACGAATTGGAGCTACATATAGCAACCACGAGCTTTGCACATAACTGCAGCATTATTCTTATCACGGAGTCGTGGCCTCACCCGCTGATTCCCGACGCTGCAGTCGAGTTAGCAGGCCGCACGCTACACCGACACGACAGGAACAGCAACTCAGGCAAAAGCAGAGGAGGGGGGCTATGCGTTTACGTGCACAATGAGTGGTGTTGTAACAGCAGAATCATTCATACACACTGTTCTCCTGATTCGGAGGTTCTGGCTGTTTCGTGCAGACCTTTTTACATTCCGAGGGAGTTTGCAGTGGTTATTGTGATAGCTGTCTATATACCGCCGGATGCTAACGTGGGCACGGCTCTCAGCCTCTTGCTTAACACCATAAACAAACAACAGCTTGCCCACCCTGAAGGGGTTTTTATTGTCGCCGGCGACTTTAACAAAGCGTGCCTAAAGTCTGTGCTTCCTAAATTTGGCCAGTTTGTGGACTTTGCCACAAGGGGTGAACACACTTTGGACCGGGTCTATTCAAACATAAGGCATGCTTTCAGAGCGACACCCCTCCCCCACCTGGCTGGATCTGACCACCTTAGCATTTCCCTCACCCCCACCTACACTCCTCTGAGGAGAAAAACAAAGCTCCAGACAAAGACAATAAAAACCTGGCCAGAAGGAGCCCTCTCTCAACTGCAGGACTGCTTCTCATCTACTGTATGGGATATATTCTCCAGCCACAACCTCCAGGAGTACACGGACACTGTACTCTCGTACATCAGGAACTGTGTTGATAATGTCACCGTCAACAAAAGGGTAAGGGTGTTCCCAAATCAGAAACCCTGGATGAATAGCGAAGTGCAAGCCCTCCTGAGAAGTCACAACACTGCCTTCAAGTCAGAGGACAAGGCTGCGTATAGGGCGGCCGGGGCAGACCTGAGGAGAGGCATCAGGAAAGCTAAGGCTGCCTATAGGAGAAGGATTGAAGATCACTTTGCTGACATCGACCCCAGAAAAATGTGGCAGGGGATTAATCACATTACCAAGCACAGAAGTAATAACCTGGCGACATCTAGTACTGATGCCTCGTGAGCTGAGGATCTAAATCATTTCTTCGCCCGTTTTGAGACGTCCAGGCCCTCAGATGTAACTCCAACTACACCCGTCCCCAGCACCGGCACACTGACACTTGGGGAGCATCAAGTGAGGTGTGTTCTAAGGTCAGTGAATCCCAGGAAGGCGGCAGGTCCTGATGGAATACATGGAAAGGTGCTCAGGGCATGTGCTGACGAACTGACCGGAGTCTTCACTAAAATCTTCAACCTTTCCTTGTCACTAAGCACCGTCCCGCCCTGTCTCAAAACCTGCACCATCATCCCCGTCGCTAAAAAAAAGACAGCAGTGGTCAGCCCAAATGACCACAGGCCTGTTGCACTAACGCCTGTAGTGATGAAGTGCCTGGAGAGGCTGGTCTGTCAGTACATCAGGGCCAGTCTGTCTCCCATTTTGGACCCCCATCAATTTGCCTACAGGACAAATAGATCCACCGAGGATGCTATCACCATAGCGCTCCACACTGCGCTGAGTCACCTGGAGCACAGAGGAAGCTATGTGAGAATGCTCTTCCTGGACTTCAGCTCAGCATTCAATCACATAATCCCTGAGGTCTTGGTCCAGAAAATGTCTCACTGGGACTCTCCACCCCCATCTGCATCTGGATTAAGGACTTTCTGACAAATAGATCACAGTCTGTCAGACTCGGCCCACACCTGTCCAGCACCATCACACTCAGCACCGGGGCTCCACAAGGATGTGTTTTGAGTCCTCTCCTGTTTACACTCTACACATCCGACTGCTCCCCTATCCATCTCTCAAACACCATTATAAAGTTTGCGGATGATACCACCGTGGTCGGACTCATCTCGAAGGAGGACGAGACGGACTACAGAGATGAGGTCAACAGACTGACGGAGTGGTGTTCAGTAAATAACCTCCAACTGAACACCACAAAAACTAAAGAACTTATCTTCAACTTCAGGAAGGGCAGAGCAGACCCGGCCCCATTGTACATTCATGGGAACTGTGTGGAGAGGGTACACTCCATGAGGTTTCTGGGCGTGCAGATCTCTGAGGATCTCTCCTGGACAGCAAATACCACGGCAGTGGTAAAAAAGGCCCAGCAGCGTCTCCACTTCCTGAGAGTGCTCAGGAGGAACAACCTGGAGGAGAGGCTGCTGGTGACTTTCTACAGAGCCACCATAGAGAGCATCATAACGTACAGCATAACAGCATGGTACGCAGGGTGCTCAGCTGCAGACAGGAAAGTACTGCAGAGGGTCATCAACACAGCCCAGAAGATCACTGGCTGCTCTCTGTCCAGCCTGGAGGTCATTGCAAACTCTCGGTACCTCAGCAGAGCGAGCAATATCATCAAGGACCAGTCTCACCCCAGCAATCAAGTCTTTCAACTATTACCATCAGGTCGACGGTACAGGTCACATAAAACCAGGTCAAACAGATTCAGGGATAGCTTTGTTCCCAGGGCGATCTCTGTAGTAAATAAGCATAAAACAATTAAAACTGCTTAGCGACTTGTCAAGGTCACCGTCAACTATTATGCTGCTATTCTAATGCCATTTTTTACATGATATTTTAGCTGCTATTCTGTATATATTGTGCTATTCAGTATATATTGTACTTACTATTGGGGGACCTTTTATATTTATAAGTATTATTGTATTGTGCACCAAGGGAGTGGCACTCCCAATTTCGTTGTATCCTGTACAATGACAATAAAGGCTATTATTATTATTATTATTATTATTATTATTATTATTATTATTATCTGCCTCCCATCCTAATTTTAGATATTCTGGGAACCACCAGTAGACCTGCAGTCTGAGAGCGAAGTGCTCGGTTAGGAACGTATGGAACAATCAGATCACTGATGTATGATGGACCTTGATTATTAAGAGCTTTATATGTGAGAAAAAGGATCTTAAAATCTATTCTGAATTTAACAGGTAGCCAATGTAGGGAAGCTAAGACAGGAGAGATATGATCTCTCTTTTTAATTCTCATCAGAACTCTAGCTGCAGCATTTTGGACAAGCTGAAGACTTTTAACTACATTCTGTGGACTTCCTGAGAGTAATGAATTACAGTAATCCAGTCTTGATGTAATAAATGCATGAACTAGTTTTTCAGCATCACTCCTGGAAAGGATGCTTCTAATCTTAGCAATATTCCGAAGGTGGAAAAAGGAAATCCTACAAACCTGTTTAACCTGGGATTTGAATGACATGTCCTGGTCAAAGATAACACCAAGGTTCCTTACTTTGATCTCGGAGATTAATGTAATGCCATTCAGGTCAGGTGATTGGCTAAGCAATTTCCTTTTCTGGATTTCAGGTCCAAAGATGAGAACTTTTGTCTTGTCTTGATTTAAAAGCAAGAAGTTAAGAGTCATCCAATTTTTTATGTCCTCAAGACAAGCCTGTAATCTACCCAACTGATTAGGTTCATCAGGGTTAATGGATAGATATAACTGAGTATCGTCAGCATAACAGTGGAAGTTTATCCCATGCTATCTAATGATTTTACCAATTGGGAGCATATATATAGTAAAAAGAATTGGCCCAAGCACTGAACCCTGTGGTACTCCGCAAGTAACCCTGGAGTATGAAGACGATTTGTCATGTACATTTACAAAATGAAATCTGTCAGACAGGCAGGATTTAAACCAGCCTAGCGCTGTTTCTTTTGATTCCTACAACATGTTCAAGTCTTTCTAAAAGAACATTGTGATCAACTGTGTCAAAGGCAGCACTGAGATCTAACAAGACTAGAACAGACACAAGATTCTTATCTGAGGCCATGAGAATATCATTTGTAACTCTCACTAATGCAGTTTCAGTGCTGTGATACTCTCTAAAACCAGACTGAAATTCCTCAAACAGAGCATTGGTGTTTAAATGCTCACATACTTGGATGGCCACTATTTTCTCCAGGACTTTGGATAAAAATGGAAGGTTAGATATTGGTCTGTAATTCATTGGGTCATCTGGATCCAGGGGAGGCTTCTTAAGTGAAGGTTTGATTACAGCAACCTTAAAATCCTGTGGTGAAAAAGGGTGGAGGATGCTACTGCAACTGCTTAACCTGCTGCTGTAACTAATGAAAGGAATAAAACACACTAGGCTTACATTTGTAGATTCTTCATCAGCTATTAACACAATTCCTTTAAATGTTTTGGCAAAGAAGCTCTTGCACTTTTTTAGATTGGATCCTGGTCAAGTAGAGCTTGGACTTCCTAACATGTAGGCTACAAATATTCAGGGTCAATGGGGTCTTATAATAAACTCTCATCCATAGGGCCCCTACATGTGTGCTCTCAGCCTCCCTGCACACTCCTCACATGCAGTAGGTACAAACATTCATTTTTACCTATAAAAACATTAAATCAGCAGTTCACACCCTGTACTGTTGCATTCCTGAAATGTTCCTAAAAATTTTATATTGTTTAGACATTTTTTCCACAATGTTTCTGTGTTTATTCCTTTAATTATTTAAAACCTATAATAAATGTCTTATATGAGGGTGTGACATTGAGTTTTGTGGATCGTGCGTGTTCATCCTTGCCTGTTGCTTCAAACTGAACTGAGCTGGTTAGATTGAGATAAGTTAAGTGTTTAAGATGGTCTGAGTGCTGAAAAATCACAAAAGCACTTTGTGAAACCCAGAGCTCTCCAGGCACACACACACACACACACACACACACACACACACACACACACACACACACACACACACACACACACACACCACACCACATTAGAGATTCCTCATGCTGAAAAGAAACAAAACAATGTCAGCAAACTGCTGAGCTTTTCCTGATTAAATAAAGAATCTTTGGTGCAAATCTCCGACTTCACAACATCAGAGCTATTTTATTTCTTTACCCCCGGAAACCCAAATTTAGAAAACAACTGCTAAATCTTTTTTTAACCTTTCACATGTTGTTCTAGGAGGCAAGATAAACGGGCCTATTTACACATTTTAACAGCCAATAGTGTTGCAGAACTGAACAATAGGACCTATTAGCAATGTAAATGTGGTTGTAAAAAGAAAAAAAAGGGGAAGGTTTATTTTTGTAGATTTAAATCTGATGTTGTAATATTACAACTGTGGGTCTCTGGGGGTTAATAAACCGGGAAACTAACATTTTATGCAAACTAAGAACTTAACCACGATTATTCCTGAAATTAAGCTAGGAATCTGTACGTTTACGTTGTCTTCCAAATGTGTTTGTCATGATGAGAGAGTTCTCTGACTTCCGAGTGGTCCGCTCCTCTGTAGATAACGGTGTAAACACACCCTTGTCGGTGATTGGTGGAGACGTTTTAGCGCGGAGGGCTTCAGCCAATCAGGAGATTGTTTTTCTAACTAGTCGTTGTACGGATAGTAAGCTAGCGGATAATGCAAATATAAACTGATATAATGACCGCGGTTTGTTGCTTCTAGCTTTATTATGCCGGTGGTTTTAAGTAACTGGGCCGAACCTTTCCTGTTGGATTTACATTCGTAAAAATGTGGTTCCGTCGTCAAAGCGAGAACATAAGAATTTGGTAGCTAACTAAGTTAGCTCTAGCTAGCTAATTTTTGAAGGTTCCGCAAGGCCGCGAATAATTACAAGATCTGCTTCCTGTTGTTGCTTTCCTGAGAATGTAGCTTACAAAACAAGTCTTCTACGCAAAACGGACACCGAAGCAGCTAGATCTGCGCTGTAAACCACTGCACTTGTTATTAGAAGAGCTTCGGGGCTAACTAGCTTGCTAGCATGAGTGAAGTGACGGACTGCAAACTGTCCGCTGACTCTGCGTCGCGGAAACGGTGTCCATCACCCGACCAGGATGAAGCGAACACGATTCCCCCAAAGTCATCTAAAGTAAGTGACGATGCCATTCCAACAAAGGTTGCATCAAAAAGTCACAGAAATATTCAGATTGAACTCCGAGAAGTAGCTGAAACGGAGGCAAAACATAGTGTAGCTGCTGCTTTGCAGCTAGATCAGGGCTCAGACGGTCCCGATGGCAGCAGTGTGCAGCCTGCCAACAGCTCCAAAGCAGGCGGTCACGGTGCCAACCCCACTGACAAACCGCAGGCCCCTGACGCACACGCATCCATAGCGTCAAAAGAGGAAGCAGGAAAGACAGCAGGATCCGATCGGCGTCTCTCAGCTCCCGTGGATCAGTCAGACTCAGCAGCCATAGCAGCAGCTGAAGCCCTCGCCAGTCTCACTGGAGGAGATGGAAAAGAGAGTCAGGAGACACCATGTTCCTCAGACAAGGGTAAACAGGTCAGACATGGCAGTAAGTACAAACAACGGGTAGGCCACCAGTCCTTAAAAGCTGGCTCGAAAACACAGGCAGCAGCTGCAGACAGCTCCACGTCGGTGCATCGTGCTGACAGAGAAGATGGAGAGGGTGCTCCTGAGGCAGATGAAGGGGATGAATCTGGATCTGGGTCTTCCTCAACGCCGAGCACCTCTTTTCCATCTGACAACGAAGATGGGGAGTGTGCTATTGTGTCGGTTAAAATGGCCCCAGAGATGAGACAGTCGGTGGCTCTGCTAGCACAAGTACAGATGAGACTCGAAGCTTTCGAGAAGAAGAGCGCTCGCCTTTACCAACGGCTGGAGCAGAAGATCAACCGTCAGAGGCGTCCACATCTAGATCAGAGAAGCTCCATCACAAAAACCATCCCTGGCTTTTGGGTGACGGCTGTATCCTTAAATCAGATGCGCCTCCTGCTTTTCTATTATCTGAGGTGAACATTCATTGTTTGTCTTAACACTAATATGCTAGCTGCTAAACCACCCTCATCTCTCAGCTCATATTGATGAGACGGATGAAGATGCTCTCAGTTACATGACCGACCTGGAGGTAAGATATTGTGCCGTATTAATCTTAGCCACAAGCTGCAAAATACAGCAATTATATTGTCTCTTTGGTTTTTTTAAAGGTCGAGTCTTTCAAAAATAGCAAACTGGGCTACAGAATCCGCTTCCACTTCAGACGAAACCCATATTTTCAAAATAACATCATCATGAAGGAGCTGCACCTTGGGATGGGAGGTACATGTCCAAGATTCGTCGTGGAATTTATTCCTGCAATTTAGAGATAAAGAAATGAAATTAAAGCTTGGATAAAAATCAGACTCGCCGCACGTGCATACCATCGCCTATCACTTGACTGCTTAGACTCTGCAAGGCTTTTATATTTTGAGCTGCCCTCTGATCTTTGCTGACCATGCTTTCAGGCTCGCCCAAGTCTTTCTCTAATCCCATACTCTGGCACCGTGGACACAACCTGACGGCTAACAGTGAGCCCAGGAAGTCATCACGAGGAGTTTATGAGACCTTCTTCAGCTGGTTCAGTGACCATAGTAGCCCAGGACAGGACGATGTAGCACAGGTACAGAAGACTTAGCCTTTTTTCTTGTTTTTATTTATGGCGTGATCACACTTGGTAACTAAATGCATCACAAGTGGACCGCTGTGGATCAGGTCACACGTGTTAAACACTTGGTCCTAATGTGAATGCTAAACTTGGCTGTGTTTTAAAAACTTGGCACAAATGGAAAATGCAAAACACTGCGGCAGCAATCGTACCACAGGTTTTATTCATGACCCTGAACACTCTGGTGTGAAGTTTCCATTTAGTTTTATCTGCAAGCATCATTTCTCCTACTAGAAAAAAAAACAAAACACATTTTTGTTAAGTGGCTCTGTTAGGGCATCTGGGCTCCTATAGCAGCTCTTCTCTGCTTTTAGAGCAGCACTGTCTATCCACGTTTTCATGTGACTGATCAAAGTTTAAGTAGTCAGTCTCTACATGAGATTTAAACTAATCTGAGTAATACAAAATACTAGTTTCTTATCCTAAATTGGAACGACATGAAGCTTTTTTTAAAAGGGTGTTAAAAGATGTTTCTAGTGGGATAAAAGGAGTTTTAGTCCCTTTCAAAAACCACAACTCTGCCACCTAGTGGCATGAATCAGCAGCTGCACGCTCTCTAAAATGTGAACTCTGGATATTTCCCAAATTGGTGAGTCAAACACACACATTAGGTTTTTTCTTAAAGCGAGGGTCCTTAAACAGAAGTAGGTTTGTTTAAACGCAGACACAACGAGTACAGAGCATCTCTGCTGTAGACGAGGGAGAGCAGCGACACGTCTGATCTCGGCATGTGTCTGAAAACTTGACAGTTCTTTCTGTAGCTTAAAAATATCACAGATTCTGTTTTATTTTCCTTTTAAAGTTACAAACCCAGTTGTGTTGCTGACAGGTTAATAAGAAGATGCAGTAAGAAGACATTTTGCACGTACCCTACATGCTTCCTAAACACTTTTCTTTAGGTACTGGGAATGTCCGTGGTGCTTCGTTACTTTAAAGACTTGCAAAAAAAATAATAAAAAACATTTTTTTGCTCTGTTTAGATTCTTAAAGATGACCTCTACAGGGACCCGCTGAGGTACTACCTCACTCCCCTCTGGGAACCCAGAGAGAACGGCAGGTAAGACCTCCAGGATTAAACCATGGTTAGACCCATGGTGGCTTTAGATGGTTGCGGAGTTCCTAAAGAATTAAAATTGTCCTTGTTTGTGTTCTGCAGCAGCAGCACCGAGGCCCGAGCTGCCGATAATGGGAACGGAGACGATTGCGTGGTGATTTCCGACTCAGACGAAGATACCGGTGAAGAAGCTGGTGAGACGAAACAAGGCCAGGGCAGAAAGGAGGAAGAGGAGGAGGAGGAGGACAGAGCGGCAGGGGGAGGTCAGTGCAGCAACAGAAGTGTTAAATATTGTTTTCTTAAGAGGCTTGTTCTTCTCTGACAAAGTGGTCTCTTTATTTTTATTACTCTGTGCTCGTGAATGCGGCTCAAACAAAAGTGTGCACCCCTCAAAATTACCGGCTCAGTCGGGGGAAGTGTGCTATTACTTATCTGAGCTTTTTGAGTTTCCATGGCAACGTTGCTAACAAAAAACTGCACATAAACATCCCTCCCATTACGTTTGGTGTTAAATTTGACCTACATTCTCTGATCTGCACCAATTTGAACACGACGGATTAGGGATGTGTGTAGGTGAAATGATGGCGATATGATACGTATCACGATACAGGGAAGACGACACATTCAGTCGGACGATATTGGCGATTGTTTTAGACAGAATTAATGTAGAAGAATGCAATAAAGAGTCCAAACTGATATATAACATGTTTAACATGAGGTGTCTGGACCATAACAGAGGGATTTAAGGTTGGTTTATGCTCCGCGAGGTCCGCACGGCTCCGCGCTGCGAAATTCCGTCATTTTAACAACCACGCCCCTCCACCGCGCCTCCGCACGGCCCAAAATTTCCGCACTGTGCACCTAGGAAATTTTCTAACCACGCGGACGGTCGGACGCGGAAAAACATGGCGGACCGACAAGAACTAGTATGGCAGAGGTTGGTAAATACAGACATTTGTATGATTCAGCTCTCAGAGATCACCGTGATCAACATGTTGTTAATAATTCTTGGAGAGAAATAGCTCGCACAGTCGGAAAAGACGAGGACGCTGTTAAAAATCTGGAATGCCATGTTGTAAACAGTCATTTCTACTTCTACTATGGTGTAGTGTTGGATGCATGCCGTAGAGCTCCATGCTGCCCCCTACAGTTTGGGAGAATATTGGCTCACCGCAGAGACGAGCCGCATGAACCATAAACGCTGCGAGTTGTGAAGCGCGTTCCATCCACGAGCCGCATCACCGCGCGGAAAGTGAACGCGTCAAGCATAAACCAAGCTTTACGTTTCAGTGGTGGAAACAAAACCCACCGCACACTGCTGCCTACTAGAGGTCAGCGTTTGAATTACACCGAAAGAAAAGAAAATACACAAATAATTGCATGTAAATTCTTCCAAAAGTTAGATACACAGCTTTTGAATATCGATATATCGCTGTAAAATAATCACGATATTTTGCCATATCGATATTTTCTTACATCTCTACAGTGGACATGAAGCCGGCCCTGAAAGAACTGTTTGTAAATAGTAGGTGAACCTGGTCTAAATCCCCATGGCGCCCCGACATCCAATTCAAACTTTAATAACTTCTACTATAAAGTTCTCAATCATACCAAACTTTCTTTGTGTCATCACACAAGTGCTGCCAACACATTCATGTGGTCATTTGTTGAAATAACACTGTTGGGTTTTCAGATGAGAGCGCGGGGGAGGAAGGGGAGGAGGAGCAAGACGATGCTGGTGGAGAAATAGTTATTGATGGTAATTCATCGTTCTTTTTAAACCAGAGTTTGATTTTAAACGTTGACATTTATGGATCTAAATAATAATTAGAATTTCTGCTGGGTTGTTTTTGTCTTACAGCTTCTGATGAAAGTGACCAGGAGGAGGAAGAGGAGGAGGATGAGGAGGAGGAGGCAGCAGCCTAGAGCGACGCTGAAGATAAAGAAGCTGCATATTAATCAGCCACAACATTAAAACCTCCTGCTGGTCTTGTTTTGGTCCTTTTTTAATGTCCAACATGGCCGCCGGACCCCTGGCACTGTCCCGTCAGTGGTTTTAATATTGTGGCTAATGTTGTATGATGTAGAGGGCGAGCTGCCGCAGGGACCAGAGGAGGCTGCGTTCACGGAAACAAACTGGTGAAAAGTTCTTCCTGATTTTTATGCTCAGATTATTGGTCTTTGTTTTTATACGGAAACACTCAGAAGCTTCTCAGATCAGGGTCAACCGCAGCAGTAAAGCCAAGGCAGCATGTCTCCCCTCCGTTTTCTACAGGCGGTCGTGTGTTTTCTGATGTACTCGTTCACCTTTCAACCCTCTCTCCAAACACTGAAGTCCTCCGAGGCATTCGCCGTGATCAGACCCGGTCTTTTGTTTCAGAAGCGACTCGTGGCTGCAGAAATGCATCATGGGTAAATGTGTGATGAGTACATTTCAGATGCACAGAGTACTGAACCCAAATGTGTTCTCAGGGATGATGATGGTGGTGAGTTGTATTTAAAACAAATATTAATTTTGGAACACGTACACCCTCATTGGTTGTATATACAAGCGTGTACTCTACTGTAGTAAATAGGAATAATGATTATTTTAATAGCCCACCTGTGTTTTCCGTCTTCTACGAGTGCTGTCACGTCTCGTGCCCTTTAACCCATCGCTGGTATGTTTTCACTACGCTCTAGTTTGGCTCGTGTCTCTGTGCCCCGACGACAAAGATTATGTTCCTATTTTTATTTGCAAACATCAATATCCCAACCTCGTTTTCAAGTAAATGTCTTTAAAGTTATGAAGATGTTGGTATTTATTGTTTTGTTTTCCACACAATCACAAGATGGCATGCCTTTTAGCATAGACCGTAGGGTGGGATAATATTAGCAGCTACAAGCGGCTTAGCGGAGTTATTCACAGCATCATGGAGTGCACTGACGAATAGTTTTTGTTTGTTTAGTCATGGCCCTGTAAATACTACGTCTGCAGTGTCTTTTTGATAAGACGGAACATCATTAATGATTAGTTTTATCTGGATCTCCTTTTTCAAACGTTACACGTTTATGTTTTGTGTGCTGTTGTTTCTTAGACCAGTGTGGTTTAGTAGACTGACTCGTTTGCTGCTTTGGTTGATTTTATTTGCATAAATGTTCACCTGTTGGATCAGTCTTAATTAAACAGACTGTTTGATCTGGCTCTTTCTGCGATTTCCTTCTAGGCGCCGGTCGTAGAATTAGAATATCAGGACAACGTTGGTTTATTTCAGTAAGTCCATTCAAAAAAGAGAAACTTGTATAATAAATCTGTTCGTTACACACGGACTGATATATTTCAGAAGTTTATTTCTTTATTGTTGATTATAAACTGACAACCAATGACAATCCTAAATCCAGTATCTCAGAATAATATTAAGATATCAGTTAAGACCAAGGCAAATGTTACCAATGTTGGCCAACATAAAAGTATGAGCATGTACAGCACTCATTATGTAGTTTTGGCTCCTTTGGTCTGGATTACTGCAGCAATGCAGCGTGGCGTGGAGTCCATCAGTCTGTGGCGCTGCTCAGGTGTTATGATTCAATTCAACTCAACTTTATTTATAAAGCGCCAAATCACGACGAGTCGTCTCAAGGACCTTCACACAGTAAACATTCCAACACAGGTCAGTTCATTAAGCCAATCAGTCAAAAGTTTCCTGTATAAGGAACCCAGCATATTGCATCGAGTCACTGACTAGTGTCAGAGTCTTTACAGCAAACCTCATACTAAGCAAGCATGTAGCGACTGTGGAGAGGAAAACTCCCTTTTAACAGGAAGAAACCTCCAGAGGATCCTGGCTCAGTATAAGCAGCCATCCTCCACGACTCACTGGGGATGGAGAAGACAGAGCACACACACACACACACACACACACATCATATATACCAAGTAATGTTTCTATGGTTATATTGTGATTTCTTAGTAAATATTCTATTTGGTGAGAGATAAACTTTATATTTATCCTAGTGAATCTATAATTAAACGGGTAAACTAGTAGTAGCACATTCAATGTCAAAGAGAGTAAAAAGTTATTATCAGGAGAGGGAGAATGTTTAAGTGGTTAGCAGCAGTGTGCTAGACGATGGCCCCCTCCATGAGGCCACCACAGCTCAGCAGAACATCGTTGTAGCTTCTTCTGGGGAGAAAAACACTTAGAGAGAAAATAAAGTTAACAGCTGAAATAGCAGGAAATAATACAGTTAAAGAGCAGATTGTAGAAGAAAGACCGACTGTACACTCCACCTCCCTCTACTCCCCCACTTGTCCCGATCTAGGCTAACATCAGATTTTAACCATAGGCCCTATCAAATAAAAATGTTTTAAGCCTAGTCTTAAAAGTAGACAAGGTGTCTGCCTCACGGACTAAAGCTGGGAGCTGGTTCCACAGGAGAGGAGCCTGATAACTAAAAGATCTGCCTCCCATCATACTTTTAGATATTCTGGGAACCACCAGTAAACCTGCAGTCTGAGAGCGAAGTGCTCGGTTAGGAACGTATGGAACAATCAGGTCACTGATGTATGATGAGATAATAATACGAGAGCCCATGTTGCTCTGATAGTGGCCTTCAGCTCTTCTGAATTGTTGGGTTTGGCCTATTGCATCATCCTCTTCACAACACCCCGTAGATGTTCTATGATCAGGCAGGTTTGCTGGCCAATCAAGAACAGGAATGCCATGTTCCTTAAACCAGGCACCGGTAGCTGTGGTGCTGTGTGCAAGAGCCAAGTCCTGTTGGGAGATGAAATCTGTGTCTCTGTAAAGTTGGTCAGCAGCAGGGAGTGCTCTAAAACTTCCTGGTAGATGGCTGTGTTGACCTTGGACCTCAGAAACACAATGGGCCAGCACCAGCAGATGCCATGGCACCCCAAACCATCACTGACTATGGAAACTCCACACTGGACCTAATGCAACGTGGACTTTGGGCCTCTCCTCTCTTCCTCCAGACTCTGGGACCTTGGTTTCCAAAGGAAATGCAAACTTTACTTTCATCAGGAATCATTACTTTGGACCACTCAGCAGCAGGTGAGATGCTTATGATGCTGTCTCTGGTTCAAGAGTGGATTGACACAAGCAATGCAACAGTTGATACCATCGTCTGTGAGAGGTGGGTTCTGAGCCACTGACTCCAGCTTCAGTCCACACTTTCAATCTCGCCCACATTGTTGAATGGGTCTTGTTTCACAGTCCTCTCCATGGTGCGGTTATCCCATTGTTGTCCCATTTTTCTACCACATCTTGTCCTTCCCTTCCCTTCTCCTCTCTGTTAATGCGCTTGGACACGGAGCTGTGAACAGCCAGCCTCTTCAGCGATGACCTTTGTGGTGTCAGTGGTCGTCTTTTGGACAACTGTCGGGTCAGCAGTCTTCCCCATGAATGTGTAACCTACAGAACTAGACTGGGAGACCATTTAAAGGCGTTTGCAGGTGTTCTGAGTTATTTAATTAGAGTGTGGCACCAGAGGCCTTCAATATTGAACCTGTTTTTTACATTCTGAGATACAGAATTTGAGATTTTCAGCTGTTGTCCGTCATACTCATCAAAATGAAAAAAATAAACATGTGTAATATATCAGTCTGCATGTAATAAATAAATCTAATATACAAGTTTCACTTTTTGAAAGGAATGACTGGAATAAATCAACTTTGTGATGATATTCTAATTTTATGGCCAGCACCTGTACTAAGGTGCATCCATTAGAAACGTTTGCCTAAACTAACCACCAGGTGGCAGTGTCGCTAAGCTCCTAGACTAGCTGGACCACTGGTGGAACCAGTTTGTGTTTGACGTTTGAGGCAGGTTTTCAGGTGTGTAAGAGTTTCAGTCGTGTCAGAAACATAGCCGTGTGACCCTGACGTGTTCAGCTGGAACACGCCAAGAGAGGGAGGGCAATAGAATGAAGTGAAACAGCTGCCCCTAATGATTTCCGTCTTTGATACGGAGACACAAGTGTGATAACCCTGTGAGTTTAAGTGCAGCAGTGATCATAGCCTGGGGGGGGGGGGGGGGGGGGGCATTTTTGGACAGGCCCAGACAAAGGAGCAGCAGCTCTGTTGCAACGGTACACCTAAACCCTTGATTCTGCTTTTAATGCACAGCTATAAATATTCCACTAGCTAAAACCTGTCGTGTCGTGGGCCCGGCAGCACCCGGAGCATGCAGCCCAGGACGAGCCTTTACTATTAATACTGATGACGAAGCCCATCGACCCCACCAAGTGATCCCATGTTAAACACGGCGTTGCCTCCTGTTGGGAGCAGCAGCTTCAGAGGTGTCTCGTGAGGTATGATGAATTAATTATCGGGCTGCTTCCTACAATATTAATTGTGACAAAGTAAGAACAGATTGCCAGGACTGAAAAAGTGTCTCCAGGCTGTTTGGTGGTCTGTGGGGCCTTGGTGATGTGCAGCGTGGCTACGCTCCTGTTGCTACTGCACACACGTGCCACTTCATGTTCTGTATTTTCAGGAGGTTCTGATGTCTCGGAGCCTTTAGCGGCAGAATGAAAAATGAAAGGACAACAAAACGGGTCATTGTTCACCTGTAAGACTGATGAGGAGGAGGAGGAAGGCTTGTGCTGCTCTCCTCTATTATAGATCATCTGAGAGGCTGAGCTGGGCCCCTGAATGCCAACTAACCGCGTGTGTGTGTGTGTGTGTGTGTGTGTGTGTGTGTGTGTGTGTGTGTGTGTGTGTGTGTGTGTGTGTTTGCACATGTGTACAAGCTTTTGTCTCGTATATAAAGGCTTGCGTTCTTTCATGCGTGAGACTGAGGAGGCACACCCCCCACACAGACCGGCGGGTCTCTTTAATGCTACAGTGCACGTAAATGTGATCGTTTGCTCGTCAGCAAATCAAGATGAAGCGCAGCGCCGGAGCGGCACAGAGACGGGAGGGGAAACCGCGAAGAGTGAGAAAAGAGAACAAAGTGGGCATGATTGAGGGGAATGGGCGAGTGCAGCGATAAGAGGCGCTGCCTGGGCCCTGACAGATCCACACAGCAGATGGATGACTCTTATCTGGGAGATCACAGGGAGCCCGCTCGCGCCTGGGCCCAGGAACCGAGAGCCATGATCACACCAGACAGATGAACAGGCCTGGCCCCCTCAGCAATCACTGCACATCCTGTCGACAGGCCCATACACACCAACACACACGGCTGAGAGGACGAACAGATTGCAGCGCCTGCGTTGCTTTAGCTTCTGTGACACTGAAGTTCACCTGGAGTCTGAAATCTCAAGGATGTGTAGGAAGAGAGCGAGGAGCAAAGGTGGGAGCAGCGATAAGAGGATTCGATTAAGATTCAAGCAGCATGGTGTGTGTGTGTCTGTGTGTGTGCCTCTGCGTGCACACACACACACACACACACACAGATGCTGGCATGCATCAGTTTCTGTCATTCTCACTTCCCCAGCGTTGCTGGTTTGTTTTTCTGTCCCCCGCTGTTCTCTCAGCAGAGTGCCATGAAGACAGAGCTGCACTCTTACATTCCTTAAACAAACACCACGTTGGACTGCAACACTTAACCATTAACCGTCTATTACAGCGGCCCTTCCAAGACCTGCTGACGGATTTACCTGTAAAGACACACGCTTCCAACTCGCTTTTATCCTCCTGCAGGTCTGCATTCCCCTGAAAACACCCCTTGTTATGGTGCAAGAGAACTTATTCAGCAGCTGTTCGCTGTCCCAGCTGAATTAGTGCCCGTCTTGTGTTGGAGGCAGATGGCGGCTGGCCGGCCCTGCGGACACGTGGCATGTTGGACGGCTGCAGACCGCCTTGCAGCTACTGTACTGCGATAGAAAGCCTGCAGTCGCCTCACTTGCGACGCAGCGCGAGGTGCGCAGGCTGTGGCTGGAATGTGGGCCGCGTGTGCGTCCTTCATCTCAGAAATGCTTCCCATAGTTGCTCTCCTTTGATAACCAGCGATGTGTGAAGGTCGTGGATGACATGCGGCACCTGTTTACGTTTTTTCTCACCTGTAGGCCGATGATTAAAACACTCCGATGCTGTGATCACGGTTGTCGCGGTACATTTTTGTTCCCATTAGGGGCCTTTAGGCTGCAGGCCTGTGCAGACGCCTCAGAGGGGATCAGCAGTGGGACAAATGATAGGCCGTGTTCCCTGAAGGGTATAGATATCCTGCTCCTAGAACTGTGTGTGTGTGTGTGTGTGTGTGTGTGTTGTCCAGAGCTTTTGTTTGGCCTAGAGGGATGGATATCTAACCTTTATTACCGTTCTGTCCGGATCTTCTTGAGGCACACCGTCCATCTCCATGGTTCAGAATCCATCCATCATGTTGGCGATCCACCATCACCCCCACCACAGTGGGGGGGGGGGGGCTGCAGGAACATGAGTTTGGTGCCTGTACAATCAACGCAGGAGCCGCGTCTTCACACTCAGCCCGACGGTGAGGTTGCATCCTGCCCTGGATCTTAAGTTGTTGAGGAGAGGAGGAGGTCTGGTTTAGCAACTTCAGTGTGTTATCTGTGATCTTCAGTGTAGATGATCGGATTCTGTTATTTGAGGCATTGCATTCAGCATTCACAGGCAGGATGAGAGTCAGCTCCTCTAAACCTGAGGTCTTGGTCCTTAACCTTAAAATGGTGGAACGTTTCCTCCATGTTGGGAGTGGCTCTGCCTCAAGCGGAGGAGTTTAAATATCTTGGTGTCTTTTTTTATTAATGATGACAGGATGGAGCGAGAGATGGAGCGATGGACTGGGGCTTTGTCTGCAGTAATGAGGGTGTTGACTGATCTGTCAAAGCGAAGGAGAAGAGCCAGTCCCTGACTTACGGGCCATCTTCTTTCTGACCTCCACCCGTAAGATCTTGTGAAAAAACAAGAACCAAGCAGATGAATGAGGTTCCTCTGCCCAGTGGCTGGTCTCAGAGATAAGGTCAGGAAGGGTTGGCGTGAACCGCTGTTTGTATTCATCAAGATGACTCATCTGAGGTGGTTGAGGCCTCTGATTGGGTTGAGTTCCTCTGGGAAGACCCTGTGGCAGACACAGAACCCACCTAAGGAACCGTGTATCTGCTCCGATCTGGGAATGCTTCAGGATCGCTGGAGAGTTGCTGGAAGAAGGGTTGTTTTTGGTTTCCATCTTAAATCTGTTACCTCCACAACCCCGTCTCGGAGAAGCTGAAGACACTGGACAGACACCAGAGATCACGTCCTTTTCCCACTCCACTCGTCACAGACCTGCTCCAGGGGCGAGGACGAGCCTCCTCTCTCCCTTTTCCCACAGGCTGAGGCAGTGGCGTGTGCTTGCTGGTGAGATAAAGATAGATGATGATGAGGATGCAGTGACAGGCACGGATGACGTGAATCGGGGCTCGTAAAGTGGCAGAGGCCGGTCGGTGTCCATGGCCAAAGTTCAGAGCAGACGGAAACTTGAGCTCAGCACACTTGTGACTCACTTCCTCAGCTGGAAACACAGGGATGCCTCCGGTAGGGCGGGAAACGAACCCCCCTCCTGGTCGGCACGCTGCTGCAGGCGGGTACACCATACCTGGCTGACATCCAACCTGGGCCTATACGCCACCGAGTGTGAGAAGAACCTTAACTCAAGCACGCCCGTTAAAGATAAGTTCAGAGTGATAAGTAAGGCTTTGTGAGCTGGCCCTGCTTGAACTCTCTCTCTCACACACACACACACACACACACACACACACACACACACACACACACACACACACACACACACACGCACCTCCCGTGTTTATTTTACTTCCTTTACTGCGAGGGCGGCTGCTCAGAACACACTCTTGTGCCACCACGGCCCTCCTCAGCAGCAGTGATGAGAGCTGCTCAGAAGAGGCAGCTTTAACTCCCGGCTGGAGGCTCTGGTGGGGTCCTTTACACCCCCCACCCCCCACCCCCACCGCCCTGCTTTTGCTTGCTTTGTCACTGTTGTCAGGAGCACATGTGCCAGCCAGTGAGGAATCCCGGGAATCCTTTGGGGCTGACCTGGGAGCTGAAGAGCCGCGGTGACACCGTGGGCCCCACTTCTCCACCTCTCACAGTGAATTTCCCTCACAGATCCCAAGACAGACATTTCCATTTTAAAGGCAACATTTCCATTTTTCAGCTGAAGCTTCGCCAGCGGAGAACCTCCTAGAATAATCCACCTGGCAGCAGGAGAGTTCCGGTCCACCAGCACCGACAGGGTTAATCACACCCATATGGTGTTGGGAGGAGAGGGAGGGGGCAGAGCAGAAGGGAGAGGACAGCAGGGCAGACCTCTCTCCCAACACCTGCACCTGGTCCTCCGGTTCTCAGTCAGGATCATCGGAGCATCCGGACCGCGTCCCGGGTCTGGGTGGTGGACTCCCGAGTCCTTCAACTTTCATGGAATGTTGGAAATATCTGACGTCATTGTGTTCCTTCTTTTTAAGCTACGCAGAGGAATGTCTTCGATTGAAAGCGAGTGATTAGACTTTTGTTTATCTGAAGAGGATTTGACGAACCTGCGGGTCGGTTTTGGTGTCTTTTTTTTTTGTGTCCTGCTGAGGGACGTGTTCCTGTCCGGCTCCGGGGCGGAGGAGGAGGGGATGCAGCGGTAACATCCCGCAAGTTTGGGGCTCTTGTTGGAGAAAAGCAGAAATCAAAGGTAGGACCTTTATCTCAGCAGGGGTTTTCACCCTGATCCCGCTCTGGGGGACGGGCTGGCGGCTGCAGGAGCGCGGCTGGTCGGTGCCTATTTCTGGATGGTGGGTTCAGGTAAGTGCGCGGTCACTCCTCCGCCTCAGCAACTAGCTGAAACAAATCCTGTAATTATTTTAAGGGAACCCGTTTATTATCACGGTGCAACTTTAATCTGTCCTGCAGCTCCCACCCAGTCCAGGAAACACCAGGAGACCTGCTGTCCAAACAGCGGGTCGGGCCAGGCGCGCGCGCGCGCAGGTCCAGACTGGTTCGGGTGGATCCGAAACCAAATCAGACTCCAGCGTTTAAACGGTCCGGTTCAAACAGGAAGTTTGAGTAGATATCATTTACATTCTGTTTAAAGCGTCACGACTTCCGTCCTGCTCGTGGAAAGCAAACAAGAGAAACAGACACGTGCTTTGTCACCTGGACTGGGATTAATGGTGGTGCTGTTGGTTAAACTGGTGAGAAGCTCTCCTCCCGCCACAGCTCAGGTAAACACGTACCGGAGCTCTCGTGGCTGATCTGGGATCTGCTGCGGGCCAGAGGGGTTTCTGTCTCCGCAGGGGTACTTTACTGTTCCTCATCAGGTTCTCATGAAGGGTCTTCTTGGCTGATCTTGTGTCCTACATAAAGTCTGTAGACATTAAAAAAAATCACGCACGTGACCATCTTCATGCATGACTTATGAAAACTTCAATCAGGATTTTTTAAAATAAAGTTTTGTTTCCTTAATTAAATTTTAACATTTAATTTTAAACGACTTCGGTAGACAGCATGCCCTCTGATGAGGAGGCTGGCTTTGCTTCAGCCAAACCAGAACATAGAGCTGTCAGCTGCAGTGACTTTTATATTTTCTGTGTGACTTTCCACGCAGCAACTGGTTGTTTGAGGCTTTCCGTTCATCCTGTGGTCTCAGACACAGGTGTGGGCCTACCAGGGCTGGTGGGCAGTGTTCCTGAAATATATCATAGTAATTAAAGGCAGTAATATTTATGATTATAGCAATGAAAGAAATACAAACTTTACCAATCTGATGATGTTAGGAGTTTAGGGGGCAGCTGCTTTTCCACCCTTCAGATTTTACTCTAGTCTATTTTAAGTTATTCACCCTGATTCAATTATGTGTCAGTCAGAGCCACAAATGTCTGCTGGGAGGAGATGGACTCCCTCATGGAGCAGATTGGTGTTATGGTGATGATGGTCATGGTAAACACACACTGGTGCCATCGGGCTCTCCAACTACAACCAGCAGGCAAGGAGGGTGAGGTGTCTAGCCAAAGGGCACAACGACTGAGTGATGATGATGATGAAGATTTATGATGATAGTGAAGATGATCATGATGATGATGATGATGATGAAGATGATAAAAATGATGATGAGAGTGATTTTTTTCTTCTCCCGTGTCCTGCCTGGCTGTGAAGCAAACAGAACTGATGTCTGAATGCTGGTGACAAGCCTCTCAGATTTACTCTCAGGTGGAGCATCAAAGCTTCTGCTTTAATGTCACACCTGATGCTCCCACATACAACCTGATGAGGATGATTATGATGATGATGGTTATGGTGGTGGTGGTGATGATGATGATTATGAGAGTGCTGATTCAATTCAATTCAGT